GTTGTGTGTGTGTGTGTGTGTTTTTCTATTCTCGTTTGATGCAGAGCTTGTCAAGATGTTCCTGAATTCAGCTGTACATGTCTTGGGAATGTTTTACTCCTCTGTGATAATGTAGAAGACACTCAGAAGAAGCGTGTAGAGTGCTAAATCTAGACACATATTTTTTTATCACGGAATATTTAGGCCATCTGCCAGTGCATATTTTCATCATTATGTGGTCTTTCTCTAATGTTTTGGATCAATTAATCATTTAATGTATAGAATGAGTAAATAGTGAAAAATATCTGTCACAATTTCCCAGAGCTCCAGCCGATGTCTTTACATTTTTTGTTTTGTCTGACCTTCAGTCTTAAAATCATCACATCTAAGAAGCTGGAACAATGTTTTGCATTTTTTTATAGGATAAAAAGAAAGATCAAAATTGCATGATCATTTTGCTTGTGCAACAGCTAATTAGCACTAGGAATATATCTTCATATGGATCAGGGGTGTTGGATCTATTAGACAAATTTAAATATGGCACATTGGCCAAATGCCTGCTGACAACACCACACATTTACACTACATGTACGTTTGTGTTTCTACAAATTCTAAATATACAAGAGAACAAATTATCAATGTAGCCTGGAGGTTAAAGATTTTTTGTTAACCATGTTCACCATCTTAGTTTAGCGTGTTAGCATGCTAGCATTTGCTAATGGGAACTAAACACAGACTACAGTTAATTAGGTCTGCACGTATTTGGAAGTAAAATTCTTACCTGATGATACTGACAGGGGAAAAGAGGGGGATACACCAAAGTCTGTAGGTGTCATCCCCTGAGGACCATGAATGAATGTCTGTACAGAAATGTCATGGATATCCAGTAATTGTCGATAGATTTCAGTTTGGACCAATCAGTCAACAGACACTGCCATCCATAGAGCCCTGCCACTAAGATGACAAGGCTAGCATGAAGAAGAGGATATACTCTCTATAGGATATACTCTATTGTTTTGGTGCTTTGCTGAAGCACATCTGCAGTGTCCAGGAGGTGAACTGGCACCTCTCCAGCTACCAGTCCACACACCATATTTGGTCCAGACGGGGACTTGAGCCAATGACCCTCCAATTCCCAACCTACAGTAAGTCCCTATGGACTGAGCTTTTTACGTGTTCTGGTCTCAGCTAAACTCAACTCCACAAAAATTACCTAGTACTTCCATATCTGGAATGCTTAAAAAATGTAAAATCGAATCACTATGTTGGCCTGACATAGACATTATAAATTGGCAGGGACTTAAGTGTCTGTACTGTGTCAGAGATTTGACAGCAGAGACAAATCCTGCTGTGGCTCCCCAATCAGTCAGCCAGTGGTCAATGTGAGATGAGGGGAAGTAGAAACAGAAATGCACTTATTGTCTGCAGGAAACAAGCCAAATCCAAAGTCAGTGGTAGTATTGCTGAGATGTCGTTTTTGTTACTGTAAGTGATGATGAAAAGTTAATTATCCTAATGGGGAAAGGACTGATGATAGCAGTACGTGGTGCCTCGTGGACATTCTGCGTATATAGATGTGATACTCAGGTTCTTTCTTTATGTCTTTGTTTCTGTTTTTCCCTCTTTCTTTCTTTCTTTCTTTCTTTCACTCTTTCTTTTGCTCTTTCTTTTAAATGTCAGCTGTCAAGTGTTTCACCTAACACTTCTGACCTATAAATATTGCAGACAAAAGACTGACAGCATTGAGTGTAAACAGAGAGAAAAGGAGAGAAGAATGACCTCCAACCCTTTTACGATACAGCTGCAGCTCTCTCTCACACAGACTCAGACACACACATGCACACACACACACACACACACACACACACTGTTCGTCTTCTGATAAGTCCATTGTATAGAGCCAATGCACTCCTCCTGCTATATCCACTTTATGTTAATAATTGGCTTAAACAGCACTCATGTGGGATCTGTGGTTTTAGATACATTAACCTCCGTGTCAAGGTCACCTCCACCAATGAAAAGGACTCATCTGTCTGCAAGCTGCTTTCTGTGTCACACTGTTTTATTAGGTGGTTCGGGTTAGTATGCTGCTGCTGAATTGGACTATTCTAATGTGTTTAATTTCTTCCTGGAAGACCCCCTTTAATGACGCCTCAAGGCCTGAACGAGGGCCAAAAAATGCTGTTGTCAGCTCTGTGTGTGTGTTTCCGCAGCACTATAACGACGTGTGGTGAAAGGATTGTTGTGTGTGTGTTAGCGGTGGGTGTGGTTCTTCATGCATGCTTGAGAGAAACCATGTGTGAAGTGAAGATAGTACAGTAGGTTGTTTTTGCACTGTGTGTGTTTACAGTATTTGTTTCTAGAGTCACTGTGTGTGTCTTTGTGATGTGTCCACTATCATGACAGCAGCTGCACATGGTTGGGGATTTCTCTTGCCTTTTTATGACTCGACTCTACAGTATACAGCATATGTGTGTGTCTTTGTTGGAGCATCCCATAGGGAGTCTGTGGTGCAGTCTCACTGTGCGGGGGAGTTGATTTGCATCCCCTGAAGATTGAACTAGGGGGGTTAGCATGTGTAGAGGTGGACCCAGTGCTCCGATACTGCTGGCTCACGGCTTTTTCCACAGCTTAAAGTGATTACCTCCCCACTGTGTCCACACTGTGCCTCTGAAAGCCTAAGATTAACTGTGGTGCCGTGTGACAGATCTTCTGTTTTATATACATTGCATACACCCTCAGTTTTCTCTGCAGTGTTTTCTTGTAAGTAATCGGCCCTGCAGCACGAGCAAGTAAAAAGTGTCACCTCTTTAACAGCTACATCTCCTCTTATCAGCCACCCTGCCTCCTAGGCGTTCTGCCGTTCTGCTGGCAAACATGTTAAAATGATCCTAAATTTAAATACTTGGCCCTCATTCTGTCACCGAGTTCAAAAATGTTCAGGCTGCTTTCCGTTGCACTCATCTAATCAGGGATTATTTTACAACTGGGATGTCAGGTGAAAGCAATTAACTGCAATGAACTACCTGTCAGGATGGAAAGCCCAGCAGAACTCAGAGTCCTGAGCAGCAGGATTAACAGCCAGCGATGACTTATCAGCCAAAGTCTGCCACATCGTCACCAGTGGCCTTATGTGTGCTAGTTTCTCTCAGAAATGTCCTTTTTTTATGCCTCGTTACTCATTTCCTACACATTCTCAGACTTTCTAAATCAACAGCACAAACAAAGTGCTGTTGTTTATGTATGAGCTTTGTCCTCGGGGTTGTTCTTCTGTTACAGATTTCTGTTTAGTTCCACTCTATAAAGTTGTGTGAATGTCTCGTTTGTCCTTTACGTATCTAACACACACATTTAGCTCCACTTTCATCCGCCAGTCAATCAAAGTGATGGCTCATTTGGATGAAACTCTGTTTGAGCAAGGTGTGAACGGGTGGACACATGTTATACGACTGGGCTTTGTGAGCCGGCTCCGGACCAACGGTTGCCACATGTCTGACACTGTCTGGCCTTGATTTAAAAGGGTGGACATGGGTTTCTGTTTATTGTTGTATTATTTATTCAGATCCCCATCAGTTGTTACCAAGGCAACAGCTACTCTACCTGGGGTCTACGGGTCTGTAGTAATTGTTTTGGATGATAATGGTTTCTATAACAGTAGTATGTAGATGTTTAAGCCTCCTCAACCATATACATTCTCTTCTTCTCAATTGCGGAAACACTTTTATAAGGGAACAAAGCGATAAGTCATAAACTTACACCACTTTGGCTCAACTGTCAGCTCAAACAGACCACTCTTAAAGGGGAACTCAAACTATTTCACAGAGTCTGTTGGAGTATGACTGCATGTGGAAAAACATAAATAAAATGTGATAAAAACCACAACATGTATGTTAAAACACATATAAAGCATTTTGTAGCTTCAGATGGAGCTGACAAAGTTGAATACATTTCCTCAAGTGATGTCACTTGAGTCAGTTGGGCCTGAACACTATCCGGGGGGGTAGCGTTAAAAAGAAGTGACCTTTGTAGTCTGTGGCCTAAAGCCTAAAGCTAGCTACCTGCTGCACACCTAAATCTGTACAGTTAAGTGAAATATTGCATTGTGGGTAGTGTAGGCACCAGATTTTGACAATGTATGCAGTATAAAATATTATACCTCTGATTCCAAGGAGTCTGACATTGTTGTAGAAGCATAATGCTAAATTGGTGCTGTACACTTTTAATAAACTGAAGGTCTAAAACTTTGGCTCTGGTGTAATTCTGTGGGTTAGCGGTGATGTTTGCAGACCCAGGTATTGCATGAACAGTGATAACCTAGGTAAAAGGAATATTTCTCTGAGAAGTGTCAAACACACTCACAACATGTGGATTCACAACAGTCACAGTGGATTTCAGTGGAAACCAAGTTTCATGGTGAATACAAATGAGTTTGGATTTATCTTGCTAGTGCACTCTTCTATTAAATGTCTACTATATTAAAGCATAAGGTGTTTTTAAGGTCATATTTTTTTCTCTGCCAAAGAGGTTATGTTTTCAGTTCGGATTGTTTGTTGGTTTGTTTGTCAGCCGGATTATGGAAAAACTACGGCCCGATTTTCATGAAATTTGGTACAAGGGTGGAGCATGGGCCGGGGAAGAACACATCACATTTTGAAACAGATCCAAATCACGGGGTGGATACAACATTGTGAGATCAAGCATTTGGCCTTAGTGAAGGTTTGCACCCTCTGAGTGCTTTTCTAGTTTTTTACAAGATAATTATTTTAATGCTTTAGATTTGGATGTTTTCCAGTATCCCGCTTGAAAAGTTTACACTAGAAATGACCATGAGGTCAAAGCAGAGTGTGACTAGTGCGTGAATCAGAATGTCATGCATGATCTGCACTGAGCAAAAAATACATAAAAACATTTCAAGCTGAATCACACAATTCATGACACCCGTTTTACATGTTTGATTTATGATGATGTCTTCTCATCCATTCACTGTCTGTCTTTCACCTTTTCTTCTCTTTTCCTCCCAGGATTCGTCCTCAGATGGCCAAGGAGAAGATAGAGGGCTGCCATGTGTGCACGCTGGTCACACCTGGAGAACCACAAGTCCTCCTGGGTAAAGACAAAGCCTTCACCTATGACTTTGTGTTTGACATCGAATCAGAGCAGCAGCACATCTACCAGACCTGCGTGTATAAGCTCATCGAGGGCTGCTTCGAGGGCTACAACGCCACAGTGTTCGCTTATGGTCAGGTATGACATTGGGGCTGGGGTTTTAATATTCATGGGTGTTTGATGATTAATTTATAGGATAGGAAAAGTTTAGTTTAATTAACTTCCTCTACACATATGTAAAAACATATTTCTGTGCATAGATGTAGGATGTATGATGTTTGGAGAACACGGGAAATGACATCTCATTATGTTTGATGTGATGTGTTTCAGACGGGGTCGGGGAAGACCTACACCATGGGGACGGGCTTTGATATGAGCCTGGGCCAGAAGGAGCAGGGCATCATCCCACGGGCCGTTCACCAGCTGTTTGAGGGAATCAAGAACAGGAGGGTGCGTGCCCAGGAGACCGGCGGCCAGCCACCTGAGTTCAAAGTCAGCGCCCAGTTCCTTGAGGTGGGTGACGTACACACATAGACATGACTGGATGTAGAGCATATCTCATATTCTAACAGTTCAGTATTGATAGTCTTTCTCGCAAATATGCGTGTGTGTAGGTGTGTGTGCGCTGGGATGGGTGTTGGTTCATATTAGCGCTAACCAGATGGGACAAAACAGGGAGACTAGAGGATCAGCCCCCTTTTCCACAAACAGGAAGTGACAACCCAATGACAGATGGGCAGGAATGCCTGCTTGTGCTTTGTTGGTCCTGATTAATGTTGGCCATTACCTCGGACATTATTCCTCATCACTGTGGGGCAGAGGAGGGATAAGAGTGAGGGATAAGAGGGAGGCAGGGATGCTTGTGTAGGAGCAATGAGATAATATGACAAGTAATTATTCCCTCCAGAGGTTGCTGGCAGGCAAATGTTTAGGTTGTCTCTGGGGGCAGACGACTGTATGTATATGTGTGTGTGTGGGGGGGTGTGTATTATCTGATTACTTTAATAAGCTTTACAAAATGATATTTCTTTTGAGCTTTGTCTTATTTCTTTCTTTTTCTGTCTGTCCTGCTCACTGTTGTGTGTTTTGTACATTCTCAGGTCAAAAGGTTATCTTTGTTGATGCTAAACAGATGTCTGTGTGTGTGTGTGTGTGTGTGTGTGTTTGGCAGTAGGTGGGAACAGCTGAGCTTTCAGCTGACCTCTGTGGTCCTTGCCCTCATTGGTTTCTGAGAGGTCGTTCTTTTGACCTGTGTGTGAAAATAAGACAGACAGCTGTGAGAAATGTTGAATATGAGCAGAATATGTAAATCTGCTTATTAGATCATTACATTAATGGTTACATTATGATCAGGGTATTGCCATAGTATTGGGTATGTATAAATTGTTTAATGCAAATGTGTTTGTGGCTTCTGTTTATTGCAGTTGTACAATGAAGAGATCCTTGACTTGTTCGACGGAGCCAGAGATCCAGAGAGTCGCAGCAGGAAGTCCAACATTAAGATTCATGAGGACAGCAGCGGCAGCATCTACACCACTGGAGTCACCTCTAGACTGGTGCAGTCAGAGGAGGAGGTGGGTGTGTTTTTATCATATGTGCGTCATCTGCAGTCATCATCCTGACATTTTCATTGTCTTTCTCAATATGTAGTATTTTGGTACACTATATATTCTAAAGCAGTTACTCCTCTGCTGACTTTTCTTGGTCCAAGGGTCATAAAAGTTTAGAAAGCAATTAAAAAAATGTCAGATTTTTGTTCAGTTTAACATCCTGCACTGCTATGGCTCGATCTGTAGCATATTTGATACTTATTCTAACACAGTATCATTTTTTCAGAGCTTACTTTTGCTTTTATTGTTTACAAAAGCACATTTAATAACGCACTCATTAAGATTCAGTCTAGTAATTTTAAATACCTTCAGTTAAGTAAGTTCAGATCACTTGCTCAAAAAATAAGAAAGCTGGAGACTTCAAAATTCCCATCATAAATGATGTTTTGAAGTTTTCTGTAACCATAGAGTCCAGTTGCATTGCAAGGGGTTAACTGTGAAACCATGAATGAATGCTGACTGGTTGAGGCAGAATGTGGGAGCTGCCACAGATCCCCAGCACCCCCAAAAATCTGACAAGAACCATGTGGTGGTCAGTCTTTAAAAACAGGAAACAGGTCGAGCATAATAAGGGAGGCCTGGCACTGATGTGCTGCCTTTAAGTCAGACTGGTTAAACATGAGGCTGTTTTGTGTGAACAGTACCAGTCTGTTTTAGGGTAGCTTTCTTGAGAAGTTGCCAGACATCAGGAGTAAGTGATGGTTGCTTAGAAAGGAAAGAGATCAGCAGTGGCAGTGTGGAAGAAGGAGGATGTGATTGGGGTCAAGAGGGCAGGAGAAATGTCTGCTAGTGGAGATGTGACGAGCCAGAGGTTAACAGGTGGTGATTTAGGGGGAGGGCTACAGTAAATGCTGGCTGGGACACCTACGGTTTTATTCAGCTTCTTCTCACATAGATGAGCAGTGAGAAAGATGTGAGCAGACTGATGAATGGAAGCAGAGAGGAAGGAGAAGAAAAGCTAAATTTGGGAGAGGTCATGCATGCATTAAACTGCAGAAAATTCAGACAGCTGAGAGGAAAGCAGAGACAGATGGGCACTCCTGTGGAAGAGAGAAAATGTCAAAACAGGGGCAGGGAGGAGAAGTGTGGAGGCGATGGAGTGTGGAAAGAGACAAGGAGTCAGGTTAGGGGTAAAAAGCAGGAGAGGACACATCAGCAGAGAGGACAAAAATAAAAGAGAATTGCAGTTTGAGTTTCCCGTCTACATAAAATATGCTGACATGGGTGTTTTCAGAAAACATCTCAGGTGGTGAACCAAAAAACCCCCATGGTTATCCTTTGTTTTTGTTTCTGACTCTACATCTTTTTTGGATAAAGTTTTCTCTTCAGTTCAAACTGAAAAGTCATAACCAAATGTCCTCCACATTTTGTGTGTGCTGCAGCTGCTGCAGTGCCTGAAGCTCGGTGCTCTGTCCCGCACCACAGCCAGCACCCAGATGAACGCCACAAGCTCCCGCTCGCACGCCATCTTCACCATCCACCTCTGTCAGATGAGAGTGTGCCAGCAGGCTCAAATGGTGAGATTTGGGGTTTAGATGGTGCAGGGAAAACTGAGAAATAAATAAATAAATATCGTATTAGTCATAATAGCAGCAAATGTGATGAAATAATTGCTATTTCCGAGTAAGAAGCTGCAGCTCACGAACTCATTTCCAATTTTTTTTTGTCCACCTACACTAGCAGAATGGTGGAGGAGGAGGAGGAGAGAACGGGGAGGTGAACGGCGTGGACTCCAGCCCCATCGCTCAGCCGGAGTTCGAGACGCTGATGGCCAAGTTCCACTTTGTGGACCTGGCCGGCTCTGAGAGGCTGAAACGCACAGGAGCTACAGGGGAGAGAGCGCGGGAGGGAATCTCGATTAACTGTGGACTGGTGAGACAGACACGAACACGAAGTGTGTGTGTGTGTGTGTGTGTGTGTGTGTGTGTGTGTGTGTGTGTGTGTGTGTGTGTGTGTGGTATGAAAGAAAATATGGAAGGTGACAAAGCATAAATCAGTTCTTCCTCTGCCGTCTGTACCTGGATGTTTTTAAATGCTGTTGCATACTTCTCTTCTGCTTTCTTAAATGGCAGCATGTTAACAGTACTTGAAAACTAGTTTGTGATCATTTTCTGAATGTCTGTGTGTGTGTGTTGTAGCTGGCACTGGGGAATGTGATCAGTGCTTTAGGAGACCAGACTAAGAAGGGAGGGCACGTCCCTTACAGAGACTCTAAGCTCACTCGTCTGCTACAGGACTCACTGGGAGGCAACAGGTACACGCACACACGCACGCACACACACACGCGAGCGCACACACACACACACATTCTTGTACTTCTGTCTTTGTGAGGATCCTTATTGATTTAGTGCATTCCATAGCCCCTTATCCTACCCTTAACCATCACGACTAAATGCCTAACCCTAACATAAACCCTACTTCTAACCTGAACCCTAAAAGTCTTAACCCTGAAACAGGCCTTTGAAAAAAGTGAGGACCAGTCAAAATGTCCTCACTTTGCAAAAATGTCCTCACTCTGTTGCTAAAATACAGTTTTTGGTCCTCACTGTGCAGCATGCACAAGTGTGCACACACACAGGTACGTACAGAAAAATGATATTATATTTATATTGTAGGAAAAGCATTTAATTCTTGAAAAATCTTAACATTGTGGAAGATTGAGAAGCTTGTTGCATAAAGGGAAAGTCATAATTGATCAAGGCCTTGGTGTTCTGTGGAGATGAAACATTCGTCAGTTAATCAAAGAGGGTTGCAAGAAAATTTATCATTCTCTATTTTGATAGTCGATAACATTAATGCAATTTTTTTTATAGCAAAATGCCAAAAATGTTATGGTTCCAGATTCTATAAAATGACGACATGATGCTTTTCTTTGCCATATGCGATTAAAAAAGGAAAATTGTTATAAACAAAATGATTTACCAAGAATATAATCAGCAGATGAATAGATAATGAAAATAAACATTTGGTTTAGTTTATTGACCGAAGATACAGAGTTTTAAGCCCACAAACACACCAGACACACTGTTAAGTTGTTAATGCCTGATTATCAAAAGAGCTTCTGTTATGTCCATGCTAACAAGACACCCTCAACATTGTTGTAGTGTATGCACAGTTTTAAACAACCTTTATGTTTCCCTCCTTTCCAGTCGCACAGTGATGATCGCCTGCGTCAGTCCATCAGACCGGGACTTCATGGAGACACTGAACACACTGAAGTACGCCAACCGTGCCCGAAACATCAAGAACAAGGTGGTGGTGAACCAAGACAAGACCAGCCAGCAGATCAGCGCCCTGCGTGCCGAGATAGCCCGACTTCAGCTGGAACTGATGGAGTACAAGGCGGTGAGAGATGGATGGGACATTGCGGGGGAGAGAAATGAAAAAAAGTTTTAAAAAGATAAAGATGAGGAGGTGCTCAGAGAAAAAGATAAAAGGGGCTGAATGACAGGGGGGAAGAGATGAGTAATGAAAAGTGGCACGTTGAAGAAGAGAGACAACACATGGCTGTCAGTGTAAGTGATGCAATGAGGCGGTAGGAGAGTTCTGACATGATGGATGAAATTGAGAACAGTAACTGAGCAGAAGAAGAAAAAAGACAACACTAATAGGAGTAAGAGAAGATGGTCCTGGAGGGCGAGTTAGAAAAGCACAGGCCATGTCTGCAGCAGCAGCGAATTACTATATCAAATTAAAGATCCTTACTGGCAGACACACATTCATTTATATCTTTACTATAGTGCATGTATAGAGAAGATTAATCGGTGCAACGACAGCATTTCCCAAAGTAATGCAGAGACAAATTGATTCTGTAGCTGAATGTGCACTGTGTAACATGGTTTACCTAATATTAACCATTATACATTAAGAAGACTGGAGAGTGAAGGATGATACAAGAAAGTGTGACAAGAAATAGGCAGAAAATTCAAAGAAAGTCTGTAAGGAGTCTCCACTTTTTCATCGGCTTTGACCTCTGGGGCAACAAGAAGCGAGCAATCATTTAGCAGGGTTGTCAGTCTATTATGCGATTAAGGGGGTTACTACAGTTACTAGAGGGAGACTGAATGCTTGACTATGGCGAGGGACTGCGAGCTGACCTCGATGTGGTAATAAGGGATGTGATGTGACTGGAGTCTGGAAGTAATGGAGTGTTGGATTGGTGGAGGTAATGATGTCTGCGGGCTGTGGCTGGATTAAATAGTGACTCTCTGTTTCCAAGTTTAACAACAGGATTTTTTCTGCGTTAAGCATTCAGAATACAACAATAGCTGCTTGAAGAGCCACGGGCAGACCAACTCACTTAAACAATGGCATTGTGTTTGGCTGGACTGCAGCATCAAGTGTATACAAGAGTGTGGTTTTACAGTACTGAGGGTTATTGTTATTCACTGTTTGCGTCTCCATGCAGGGGAAGCGTGTGGCCGATGAGGATGGTTCAGAAGGCTACAGCGACCTGTATCAGGAGAATGCCATGCTGCAGAGAGAAAACGACACACTGCGCCTCAGGGTGAAGGCCATGCAGGAGACCATTGACCACCTCAATACACGCGTGACTCATCTGCTGGCCAATGAGGTCAGCACTCTGCTGACCAAGTCAAGTACGTGTGGGAGATATTTAACTGTTTAAAATGTTTAAATACTACATGAACTCTATTTCTCTTGAGTCTCAAATCTTACTTTACCTTAGCCTTCTTCTACCTTTGTCCTAAAGGTGAGGGCAACGAGGAGATTGGGGCTTTAATCCAGAACTACATCCGAGAGGTTGAAGAACTTCGGTAAGAACTCTAAACCTTTATTTACAGCCATCACTTGTAGTCTTACACTGAAACCCCACTGAAATTATCAAACCTGATACTGATGGGACAGTAATTACTTTACATACTTTTTTAAAATTTGGTCTACAATACACAGTATCAGTAATATGATAAACATATAAATTAATATATGTGAGCAAAATCTGATAGACATTGTCCTGATTGCAAAAAGAGAGAAATAAATAAATAAACCCACAAAATTCCAAAAGACAGTAATAACCAAGATAGACAAAACTAACAAAGGTTGCTGTTACAAAGCCACACAACTGGTTAAATTAGTGTGTGATAAAGGCTTCTGTACTTTGAAGAATGTCATTAGCAAATCTCTTTCTCTTGAAGTTCTATTTTAAAAATTCTGACCTGACTTTGGACATTTCTTTTAAGGAACAGTTGACTTTATGGGAAATACACTTTTTGCTGAGAGTTAGCTTAGATGATCCATACTACCTTAATTTCTGTCCTATAAAGATCTAGTGTGTAGGATTTAGTGGCATCTGTAGTAGTGATATAACAGAGGTTAAACTTCCTGTTGTCCAAGTGCATAGGTGAACTACGGTGGCCGACACAATAAACGCAAATGGCCCCATCTACAGGCAGTGTTTGGTTTGTCTGTTCTGGGCTACTGTAGAAACAACATAATGGACTCTGTGGCAGAGAATTCACTTCGTATGTAGATATAAATAGCTCATTCTAAGGAAACGAAAACACAACGATTCTCAGTTTCAGGTCATTATAAACTAATTAAAACATAGATATGAATATTATATTCAATTTCTGCCAATAGATGACCCTAAATCGAAAACACTGGGCCTTTCAATATGCCAGTGGAGCCAGTATCCAGTTTGCTAAGCTTAGCACAAAGTCTGGAAACAAAGGGAAACAGCTAGCTTGGCTCTTTGTGTAGGTAAAAAGTCCATTTACCAGCACCTCGAAAGCCCAGTAATTACTACATTAAATCTTGTTTAATTCGTACAAAAACAGACATCTAAAAATGGCAGATTTGGTTACCTTTTGGTAAGAGCTAGGCTAGCTGTTTCTCCCTGCTTGTTTGAATGCTATACACGCTAAGCTAACTATCCCCTGCCTGTAGCTCCATATTAACCTGACAGACATAAGATCGATATCAGTCTGATGTAGCTCACCATAAGAAAGCAAGTGAGCGTATTTCCCAAAATAGGATCTATTTCTGTTTAGTGGCATTTTCCAAATCAGTGAATCCTACCTTTAAAGTAAGACCACATAACTTTTGCATTAAAGGAGACAACAAATTAGACAAGAAAAGAGCTGCACAGCAATATTTTTCTGAAGTTTGCTGTGTTAGCTGGGCTGCCGTATGCTACTGGTCACACCAAACCAAGCAAGGCTCTAGAGGTAAATACCCTGAGTGTGTTGATTTGAACAAGGGCTCATTTTATTGCCTTTGGAACAGAAGAATGTGTTATACCTTCTTTAAAGTTTCATAATGATTGATAAATCAGAATTCATGCCTTTATTTAGCTTGTGTCAGTTTTCCCCCTTCTCAGAGCCAAGCAGGCAGAAATTATGAATTAATAACTTTTTCTCACCCTCTCCTCTTTGTCTGTCAGAACCAAACTTCTTGAGAGCGAGGCCATGAACGAGTCGTTGCGACGGCAGGTGGCCCGACTTTCTTCACGTTCCCCATTCCCTCAATCCACTCTCAGTCCCGCCCCCGGCCACCCCCCTGGCTCCTCCCCTGCTCCTATGTCCATGGAGGCTGAAATGACGGACGTGTTACGCAGGGCCAAGATGGACATCGAGAGGCTGAAGAAGAAGGAGAGGAGGCAGAGGAGAATGAGGTGAGGAGAGGAGGACACATCTGAAAAGTTACTTCATATTTATGTGCTAGTTAGAAAAACCTTTATCCAGAAGAGTCCACAGAGTTCCAGGAAGCTTTCCTGTCCTTGTGTATCCAAACATCTGAACTTGATGTAAATTTAATTTCTCATGCGTCCCTCTAAGCCCTTATTAGTGAACCTATGCATGTTTTAAAAGCCAAGTGAGCATGATGAGTACATTACTGTTCATGCCCATATACTTCTCCCTCCTCACTGCTTCTCCCCTCCAGCTTAAGAGCCACATCACAAGTCGATTAGTGCTTTGGGACGGCCAGTTTCTGAATAGAATTGGGATGCAGCCAGTGCTGAGTAGTAACGCTGGCTCGGACGCAAAAGGGTCTAATTCAGTCGGCCAGTGGGTCATGAGAGAGGAGAGTACACAGCCTAACAGGCTAATTGAGGTTTAATGGGATAGGGATGGAGGTGGACGGGAATTTAGAGATGGGACGGGTGATAAGCAGAGTGGCTGTAAATGAAGGAGCAAAGGGGCGAATAAAATTGGCAATAAAATGTTAAGAGCTAAAAGGGCAAGACAAGGGGGTAGATGAGCTGAGGAGGACTTTGCTAATGACTTCAGAGGTCTGATTTTGACGTGAGTACATCACTTGGCAACACTCCCAAAGCCTTAATGGTGGTTGTTAGGAGTGTGTGACATCTAAATTACATGAAAGAGAGTGTTTGTTATAACTGGTAATGGACAGAAAACACTCATGCTGCTGCAGTGGAATTGGATAGACCACTAACCACAGGTGAAAATGGTCCAGGAGAAGAATATGATGATACAAAATATATTTACAAGTGATATTATTTATGTGTTTTCTCAACAATCGGGCTTTTCTCCTGCTGTAGTCCCGAGCTGGAGAAAGGTATGAAGAAACGAGTGAAGCTGCACACTCATGAGAATGGAGAGAACGGGCAGAGTGGTGAAAACAGACAAAATGGACAGAATGGAGAGATCGATTCAGACGACAATTACACCGAGGTAAGGCACACATGTTGGCATTGATTTGTGTTTAAAATAATAATAAAAAAAAACACAACAAAGTGTGATGTATCTGTGTGCTTCTGTGTGTAGGACATCATGTCTCCACTGCAGGAGGAAAGCGGCTGTGATGAAGATGAGGGGGAGGATGAAGAGGAGGGCAGGGAGGAGGAGGATGGGTTTGACAGTGATGAGAGCCTGGTGGATTCAGACTCAGACTCTGATGAGAAAGGTGTGTTTCTGACAGCTGCTGTTACAAAATGACCAGGCCAGTTTAACCTTTTGTGCCCTGTTTTTAGCTGCATAGTTCTATAGATAGCAATGTCTGTCTGTCTGTCTGTCTGTCTGTTGGTCAGTAACTATCTCAGCAACTATTGAATATAATGCCATGAAATTTTGTCCAGACATTCATCGTGCCCAGAGGATGAATCCCAATGACTTATGTGATTCCTTTATTTTTACTCCAGCCCTTCCAGCTGGTAAATTTTTGATTTATCCAGTGAAATGTCTGAAACATCTATCAGACAAATTAGCACAAAGTCTTGCACAGATATACTTTTTTTTAATAATATAAATAAAATTGATTGATTGATTGATTGATTGATATACATGATTTCTAAGTGATGTATCATAATGACCTTTGAGATCCCCTGACTTCCCCTCCCCGCCATCAAAGGGTCTAAATTTCAACGTATTTACCGTTTATGACCAAATCTTTGCAAAACTAATCACATTTCCATCAGCCTCAGCTGTGCTTTGTGTTTAGAGCTAATTAGCAAACCTTTGTATCTACAACATGCTAAACTAAGATGGGGAATATGTTAGCATGTTGATGTTAGCATATAGCTCGAAGCACTGCTGCACCTAAGTAAGTACAGCCTTACAGAGAGAGAGTAAGGACATTATGCAGTTTGCCAGATGACTGACAGTGAAGAGAGCTGGAGATATTTTATATTGTAGAGCTGAATTTGAATCTGCAGTCTTATGGGCGGTCTCTGAAAGAAGCACAAAGAAGCAACACATGAATCAACCAGTGCCTAAGGTTTAGGTTTGATGTCAGTCGGAATAAAAAAAAGGCGATAAATTAAGTCTGGCAGCTTGTTTTTGACTTCCTGCTATTTATTTCATCATCCTAAAAAAGTTATATTAACTCCTCTTTAAGCTCTTCTTTGCACTCTGTCTGACCTTATCCCCTCCAACCCGCAGCCAACTTCCAGGCAGACCTGGCTGACCTGACCTGCGAGATCGAGATTAAACAGAAGCTGATAGACGAGCTGGAGAACAGCCAGCGGAGACTGCTGATGCTGAAGCTGCAGTACGAGGAGAAGCTCATTCTGCTGCAGAACAAGATCCGAGACACTCAGCTGGAGAGGGACCGTGTACTGCAGAATCTGAGTGAGTTCATGCATCATGGGACGTGTAGTTTATATTGATGGTTGGGTACTTTCTGATCAGTAGAAAAGTAAAGTGTCATTAAAGGTGAAGCATTCCGACAACAGGTTGTTAACGTTATTACATGGCTACACAGTGTCCATGGAGAACTACACAGAGGAGACGGCCAACCGGATCAAGCAGGACTACGAGAAACGTCTTAAGGAGATGAACCGAGACCTGCTGAAGCTACAGGCGGCACAGAAAGAGCATGCCCGTCTCCTCAAAAACCAGGGGAGGTACGAGCGGGAGCTGAAGAAACTCCAGACAGAGGTCAACGAGATGAAGAAAGCCAAGGTAGGAGGAGAAGAAGAGTGAGGGGGGAGGAGCGGGAGCATGGATAAACAAGATTGTTTCAGCAGTAATACTAGTGCAGTTTAAGAAGCCTGACCTCGCTGCTGTTTCCAGGTGATACTGATGAAGCAGATGAAGGAGGAGCAGCAGAGGAGGAGGATGGTGGAGGCAAAGCGGAACCGTGAGATCGCTCAGCTCAAGAAGGAGCAGCGACGACAAGAGGTCAGATTGCATCTGTGTGTGTTTTTTAGGACAGAGATATTCAGCACTGCTCCATTCTTCTGAAACATTTAGCACAGTTACATATTTGCTCCAGTGCTTCAGCTCCCTCTGATAATACACACAGAAATAGAGATACTGGAAGCTAGGTGACACCATATGAGCAGTGTTGTATATAAGCCTGTTTTGTCTATGTTATAGCTGTTATCAACATTGTCCAATTTTTGATTTAACTCCTGTGTTTAAAGAATGATTCATGCTGATGAGTTGGTGTATATGGCTTGCATTGCTCCATCTGTTTGTCAGCCTGGCATTTTAAAAGCCTGATTTATGTATCATCGTGTACATTCTGCTCACAGATTGTTGGGATTACTTTTATGTTTTAAAGATTAGCACACACCCTAAATGTATTCATTTCCATCTTTATTTGTTTTCCCTGGAGGAGAGTGCTTATTAATGAGCATGGAAACAGTAACACCGTCACACTGTGGGCCTCATTCGTAATCCTTTTATTTAGGGTTTCGTCTGAAATCTTAAAATCCTCTCATGATCAACACTTTGTAAGCCTGTTGTTCAAAAAGCGGTCATGTTCGGCTAAAAAAAATGTTTTTAAAAAAAAATGTAAACGAGGACTGAATAACAAATTAAAGACCTGTTTGTCTCCCTGCTGGCTATCAGTACCAGATCCGAGCGCTGGAGTCTCAGAAGCGGCAGCAGGAGCTGGTGCTGCGCAGGAAGACCCAGGAAGTGACCGCCCTGCGGCGCCTCACCAAGCCCATGTCAGACCGCGTGGCTGGGCGTGTGGCCCGCTGGAACCAGACTCCTCCAGTTACAGACTCTGGAGCTGAGTTATCGGCCAGCACTACTGCAAGCAGCTCTGAACCCGAGACTGGGAGGACCGTGAGCGGGCTGGTGAGACAGTGGAACAACAAAAACAATGTGTTCGGATACATGGCAGAGAGTGAAGGGAGCATGGATGGAACCAGGGTCATTGGGTAAGATGGGTTGATGCAGTCAATGTATAACCTCAAGACATACACTTTAAAAAGCAACTGTACACTACTGACCAAGCTCCAAACATCAGACAGACACAGTTAGTGACGAGCTGTTATTTTGTTTAGGTTCTTAAAAAGTTCCTCTCCTCTCCCTTTATCTCCTCTCAGCAGTAGGAAGAAGTTGCAGCGTAAGCCAGCAGGTCTGGGTGTTGGAGCTGCGAACAGAGCTGGCAGCATCTCCAAGTCTGCGCGTCAGAAGTGGCAAGCACTCGAACATCGCATTATGGACATTGTCATGCAGAGAATGACAATCGCAAATGTAGAAGCTGACATGGATCGCCTTATCAAGGTAGGCTCGGCCTTCACAGGAAATCAGTGATGTGTAAGGTGGCGTTGTTTTGGGATTTTACCTGGTTTAGTGTCTGTAGAGTTAAACCAACTTGAGAGGGCATGGACAAGTGTTTTGTGATACAATTAGCCAAAAGCAATATACACTTTGAGATGTGCAGCTATATTAGCAGTGATTAAAAATCAAACATGAGGAATCAAAATTATACGTGTCCATTGTCGTGACAGCAGCAGCAGCAGCAGCAGCACTAGGTTACATGTTAGTGACTTTTCGGCTCGCATCATCTCAGTATTGTACAACTGAAACCACAGTGAGTGAAGCTCTTCCTCCTTCTGTCAAAGACAGACTGTTAAAATTAGATGGAGAACAGTCCTTTTATATGAATCTGTAAAATGTTAGAGCATATATTAAAATATGTTCAGTTTGTATTGCACTTAAAGTAAATAATGTTTTCAAATGTTGAAGTCACTCCCCGTATTTTATTTCCTTATCCTTGACATTTGCAGATGTTTTAGAAAGTATCGCTCTGACTGTTTTTGCTGTGTGGGCATTTGTGTTTTCGATGAGTCAGAAGCGAGAGGAGCTGACAGTCCAGCAGGAATCACTCTCACATAAGAGGGAGGTACTCATGGCAGATGGGGAGGGACCAGAAGCAGAGGACCGCCTCCTCCAGGAAATTAATGAGGAGATTGAGGTGCTGAACGCCAACATAGACTACATCAACGACAGCCTGTCTGACTGCCAGGCCACCATTGTACAAATAGAAGAGACCAAGGTATGAACACACACACATGCACACACAGCAATGCTGTTCTCCCACTGTAAGAAGTGACAGGAGGCCTCTAATTATGACTCTGATGGTGTTTTCCTGCAGGACGAGCTGGACTCAGTGGACACCTCAGTGGTGATCAGCTCCTGCTCTCTGTCTGAAGCGCGCCACCTGCTGGACCACTTCCTGAAGGCTTCCATAGACAAAGTGAGTTTTCGTTCACAGCCACTTAAGTCCATAGGTGGGTTGGTAGCCTTAGAAACATCTGTAAAATCAGTAGCGCTGAACTATTTAAATCTACACTCTTGGAGATGTGAAAGAAAATATGGCACTATAACAACAACAAAAACAGACATAAAAGCATATACACACCTATTATAAGTGTTTAAAGACAATAAACTAAAAGTGCTTTTTACTGTTATTGTAAGATGCCACTGGCAAACAATTTATATGTGTTGGTGTTGCAATGCCCTGAACAGTCAGGTGCACTTAATATATGGATTATGCTGCCATCTAGTGGTTTCTTTTTGATAGGCAAACTGTTGTCTGGGCTGTATTTCTCAGTACAAACAAAAATCAATAATCACCATGCAGACAGTTAAAACACTCTATTTACTAGGTTGTCTCATTTCCTGTTGTGTGATTAAAGGGGAACTAGTATGCTAATGTTTAGATTTATACTTGTCTTTTGAGTGTCTATTAGAACATGTTAGCATGTATTTATGGCCAAAAAAGCCCAGTCTACTCTCATTAGTCTGCGTCTCTGAGAATTATGTGTTTTTAGCGGCTCTGAAGCATCATTGCAGCCAATGGAACAATTGTAACAGAGAACTGCAGTACTTTCTACCGTGAAAAATCACCAGTAAAGGCTTCAACCAGACATGTTCCAGCAGGGATATGACCTGAAATCGAAGAGAAATTAGCAACATCAGCAACCAAGATTACATGTTTCCCTGACATTAGCATGTAGCTTCATGTAGCAGTATAGGCTACGCAAAGTAAACACTTGAAATAGCCTGGAGCAGATGACCATATGAAGACATAGGTCTGGAGCTGATGTCAGCATATAGCCAAAGTAGAAAAAACATTTCTCCTGAAGTTTTTGCTCACAGGGTTTACTTTTACATTTGTTTTCCTCATCTGAAACTCTGGCCACATTAAATACAATAAACACTGTATATAAGCAAAAGTATTATATGCCCTTTTATTACCAAGTCTAAACATTGAATGCTATAGCACTCTGTATGTGTATGCGTGTGAATTACCACTTCTGATTTGTCTGGTCACTGTGTGCACACAGAGTTTACAGGTGGCTCAGAAGGAGGCTCAGATCCGACTACTAGAGGGTCAGCTGAGACAGACAGATGTGATTGGCTCGTCTCACAATCACATAATCCTTGATGCCCTGCGAGAGAAGGCCGAATACATCCCTGAACTCCAGGCGCTCATTCACAATGTACAGCAGGGTGGGTGGTGCTTTTTTTGTTTGTGTTTGGGTCTGAGTGACAGTGTGTAAGACTTCATACTGTGTGTTCCCTTGTTTTAATCAGCTTTGGAGAATAAATTAAAACTGAAACTGCAGTGACACTGGAAAATATGGTCATAGATTAGCTTGCGCCACTGACAGACTTACAGGGAAGCACTATATGTTAGAGTGTGAAAACCTGACCTGAGCCCGAAGGGACCTGTCGGGACTTGATGGGTTGGGTTCAGACAAATATTTACAAATGATGTTTGGGTCAGATTTGGGTGGGATTCGAGTAAGGGTTAGCTGAAGTTCTTTTTTTTTTATAACTTAAATTTTTATTGAGTTTTCACATGCATATAGACAAAACAATACAGCAAACAAGGTACAAATTAAAATAACAATAGTAATAACACTAACAAACTGTCTGGAGATGAGCCACTATTGAGTCCACTGTTCTATTTTGTTCAGTTGGTGTCACGTCTGATATAAATGTTCCATTTTTCCCAGTTCTTTTCAAATACATTCTCTTTGACTCCCAAAAGGTATGTCAATTTTTCCATAACGAAGATTTCCTGGACAATTTCCAACCACTGTTCCTGTCTTGGGATATTTACATTGAGCCAGTTTCTTGTGACTGCTTTCTTACTTGCTGCGAGTAATATTTTAGTCAAGTACAGATCGTCTTTCATTACAACCTTCTCAATATTCCCAAGATACATCACTGGACAAGTATTTGGGATTTCATATCCCAAGACATTTTTTACAACTAAATTAACATTTTTCCAGTATATCCTCATTTTTGTACAGTTCCATAAGATGTGTGCATGGTCTGCCTCCACACTCCCACATAGTCTCCAGCAGTTTTGTTGTATAGCGAGTTGCCTAGATTTTATTTTTGGTTTTATAAAATAGCGAGTTAATTTTTTTTCAGCAGAACTCCCTCCATATCAGTGAATTTGTAGAAGCTCAAGTTCTTTTTAATGAAAACAGAGTGCAAAAACAAATAAAAATGATGGATCCACTGCCTGTGTTGGGCTGACAAGTTGCATGTTTTGTGTGCTTCCAGAAAATGGCTATGCCAGCACCGATGAGGAGCCGTCTGAGTTCAGCCAAGCCTCTGACAGCAGGTGAGACTGTTGTTGCAAGTCACAGAACCCCTGTCTTCTTGCCCTAAACCATTTTTAAAAAGTATCTACCGTACCACAATGCATAAGTTGTTCTTATTTTGCAAAAAACAGTGTTTATCTTGGAAAATTTTCATCTGAAAATGTATTCCATTTCTCATTAAACTCTGTATCCATGTATATTTTTCTAACTCTCATTTCCTCTCTTTCTACAGTATATCTCAGATGAAAGAATCCAACAGCCAAGATGATTTCAAAATAAAGGTACAGCTGGTCTGTGTTACAGATTTAAATCCACTCTTTCTGTTTACACAACAAACACGTCCTTTCTCCAGATTTCTTAAATCCAGATTTTAATGACTTCAATCCTTTATATCTCAGAATAGCTCTATGTGCTCAAACCATCAGGTAGTGCTGCGTCTGCCAGTATCCAAGCCTGTCAGACCTTTATGAATCATCATGACGCTGCATGTTGTCAGAAGACGTTAGTAGATTTGCTGTAGTGATTGTGTTTGGACCCTTGCTCTAATTTTCAATGTCAACACACATGCCACAGTTTGTCTGTCAGAGCAGCTGCCATTTGAGTTAGAAACCATGAGGTGGCAGTATAAGCAAACACTTCAAATTCTTCCATTTCCTAAAGCTTGGTTTGATATTCTGAGGAGGAACCCCTTATCTGACACCAATCCCCCTTATCCTCTTGTTAATGCTGTGTTCTCTGTCCTTTATTGATTTTTTTCTTTATCCAGCGTTTATTTCACCACCACAATGGCCACTCTCATTTCTTGTATGTTTGTTTCCCTGTTTTTATATTCTCTTTGCTCATTTCCCCGCTGAATGAAATTTTCAGGCAGCGTTCTTAATTTCCTCTTGTGCCTTAATTAAATTCAATCTTTATCTTTATTTTATGTCTCAGTTTTTCATATCCCGCCGTCCTCCTTTCTCATTTCATTCTGTCCTCTGTGGTCCTCTGTAACACAAATGGTGCAATTTTTTCAACCAGATGGAGCCTCGTCTGTCGGCTCAGATGAAGGCAGTGTCTGCGGAGTATCTGGGTCCCATCCTGGACTTGTCGGGTGGCAAGCAGCAGCACATCACCAAGTCTCTGGCCTCACTTACGGATATCCAGGAGGATGGCATGAGCCTGGGGACAGCGAGTCTTGGGCTCAGCTTGGCCCTACGAGACCCTTACCACAGGGACAGGGCGTCCCGCACCATCAGCCTGCCTGTCAGGGGACACACCTTGTAAGTGACTCATAATGAAGCTAGGGCAAAGCAGCTTTATTTATGTAGCATATTTTAAACACACAGGCAGTTCAAAGAGCTTTACAGATGACAATTAGTAAAGAACAAAATGAATAAAATCAATTAAGATGGAATAAAATTTAAAAAATCAAATCAAAACAAAATAAACATATATAAAATTGAATAAAATACACATAGAATAGACCAGAAATATAGTTTCAGTGCAGTGATAAGTTGTTATCTGCCCTAAATGCAACAAAGGAAATAAAAGTACAGCAGAGAAATTAGTCAATAAAAGGCACAGGAGATTTGGCAAGACATATTTTAACTGTTACCAGGAAGGGGGAATGATTGAGTTTTGGTTCTTATATTTTAGCAATGTTGAATTTGACAAAACCTCACAAGTAACTACTAGTATTTCAGAACCACTTCAATGGTCCCCAGCATTTTTTAGTCTGATGCACCCCCACAGGCCTGTCAGATGAGCTCAAGTATCTCTTCATTAACATTATATTTACCTAACTACTGGATCTGTGTGTTCGTTACTTTAAGGTATCTGTTTGGACTTTGTACTATAAGCACTGTAAATTGTGTTCAGGTGTAACAGCCGACAAAGTATGTGGACAGACATTTAATGAAATGGTAACTTCTATTTTGACAAACCATGGCTACTATACCAGAGATTTTGAAAAGACTAAAATAAGTGCTGGTTGACGGCTCAGATACATCTTGAATTAAACACTGGCTCCACAGTCTACGAGAACCAAGAGTCGTTCACATTCTATCGCCTTCTTAGAGTCCCCTCCATGTTTACTGTCTGCCAAGTTTGCTGCTTCCTGTTTGGTGTTGGAGAGAATGCAGCTATTGGTTATTGACAATGATCACAGCACTGAGCTTCTCTATTTGCATGAGCCAAGACTAAAAATGTAATAATATATAATATAAATGAAATATTATTAAACATGTCTGATATTGTTAGAACATTAAGACATGTAAAAGACTGACTTAAAACAGTCGGGACTGAGTTATATGACAACCTAACACCAAACAATGGAGATAATGGGAGTGCGCCACAGCTCTAGCAAAACTCTCATGAGTTTAGTTCGACATTGGAAATTTGTCTGTGTCAGTGAAATCACTTGAAAAGTCGTTTGATTAAAGCCAGTTATTAGCTTGAGCTTGGCGCCTGCAGAAGTACTCTCTGGGGTACAAGTACCTCTGGTTAGGAATCACTGCTCTGCTGTGTGGGACAGCAGGGTGGCCTGTCTCCTATCACACGACCTCATCTCAGATCCCCGTGTCGGTAAATATTTGTTCTGCTGAAGTGCCCTTGAGCAAGATGAAGAGCAGAGTCATTGAATGCCAGTGAGCTGAACTGGAACTTTTCTGACGATTTAAGCATAAAACAAGAGATAAACAAACAAGCTGGATAGAAACATCAGGATAATTGCATAACCATACACCCTGTGGAATATCACAATCAACAAAAAAAAAAAAAATCTGTTTGCAATGCATTTCCTGATAATGGAGACACAGTCATCAAGAGTTTTTGAGTCGTTTTCCTACTGCACACTTCCAAATGAACAACCAGTGGAAAGCTGCCAGAGGCCTGATGTGTTTTTGGGTTATAAAACTGCTTCAGGGAGAGAGAAGATGAAGCCTATGAAATTTGCATCAGTCCTCGGGGATGGGAAGCTTGGTTATGTGTGATTATTTGATATTTAAAGAAATTAGTCTGCCAGTTGCTTTAGTCTGCTAGAAATGCTGTTAAATTGCTTAAAACCCTTGTTCTGCATAGATTCCCAACATAGATGTGTATCATCCTCCTGTGCACTCCCCTGAAGATTTGCTTAGTTTGCTTTTGTGTGTGTGTGTTTGTGTGTGTGTGTCAGTCCCAGGCAGTCTCGAGGTTATGACACTTCCCCTCTAACAAGGAGGAAATCTTACGACCGTGCATACAGGTACATGCATTGTAATGCTCACAGTGAAGCTACTTTGTTGGCAGACTGATCACATTTTTTGACTGTGTAATGTAATTTTCAGACTCCCTCCTTGTTAACTTGTCCTTTTCTTATCCTTAACCTTCCTCACCCTCCCGCCCCTCATCAGGCCCACTGACGGCTACACTCCCCCGTCCTCCCCTCCTCTGAGGACAAGGAACGACCGCAACGTCTTCTCTAGGCTCACCAGCAACCAAACCCAAGGTTCTGCTCTGGACAAGTGAGTACACTCTTGCAAACATACATCCATTCACACACTGATTCTTGTCCTTTTGTCCCCGCATTCTCATCTGATCAATTCAGCCTCACTTTGAACCATTCTTTTCTTTTCTTCTCCTCCATGGTGTAAGATCTTTACCGACCCTGTAGATAGGCTGAAGGTCAGGCCTTTTGAGAGGAAAGTGCTTTTGTCCACGGTGTAGTAAGAGTGTGCTATTCCAACAGTTTATGCTTGGATGAATCCCACTCTTAGACAAAAAGACTTTTCATCTGGCATTAATGTATTTCCTGGGAGGACAGATGGTGCAAACATTCACAGAATCCAGGTGCTGAGTGCACTTCTGAAGCATTGAAGATCTAATCATCCACACCACAACCACAGGCTGCATTTAGCAACACTGACAGCAAGGTGTAATTGCAGTGCATTTCCAGTCGACATATAGGAGTTACCAGGAGACAAATGCAAATTAGAAGGGAAGCAGTTCAGATACAAACATCATCTATAGAAGAAATAAACAAGATGTGGTGTGATATGTCTGTTTTCAGATGATGTGATGTGCATGATAATGATGATGATTTGCATATGGGCAAGAGACAGAGAAATCATCTTGTACAATCTAATCTAATCCAATAAAAAAACAGCCCTGCAATAAATCTTATCTCGTAATATTCAGGTTTGCTGACACTGTGTCAGGGAGAATCAGATTCAAAGGTATGGTAATTTTTGAAGCTGTCATTAGTCGCGGTGTCCAAGTGGCCTGTTTTTAATGTTATTTCATCCTATTTACATACTTAAAGGTTAAAAGAATGTTATAAATAAGTGTGTGGTCCAGCTACATCAGATGGAGACACAGTATGGATATGAGATGCATGTTGTTGTCAGCTGCAAAGGTGTCTGGAATGAGCAACTGGCCTTTTTTCTCTTCCTGTTCCCAATCAATTGCAGCTTTCCGCTCTGACAAATGTCAGCAGTTAATTTCAGCCAGCGTTTGGCTGTGCTCTAAAGTTATTTGTTTTGTAATCTTTATAAATCCGGAACATTTCTCAGCTTTATTGACCCTTAATTGTTAGCGAGAATGCTGTGTGAGATGAGTTAGGGTGTTGTGTTTGTGCGTGTGCTGTATGTGTGAATACTTGTGTGTTGGAGCCTGTGGGTCTTCATTATCTGGAGCAGGGGTAGGTAAATGAGTTGGCTCTTGTCATCTTTCCATGCAGCTGTTGTGATTGGTAGCCATTTTGAATTAACTGTGGGTGGCATTGTGGAGGGATATTTATGTTTAGGGTCGCGTTTGTAGCTCCCACAGGAGAAGCCTTCATAAAGAGCATGATGCAGAAGGATGAAATGTTTTGTTGTGGGAAACATTTACATCGTTGACATCTGATGGAAGGTATTAACAGCATTTTGTCATTTGCACCTTTTTTAAGTGAGGTTTTGTGTGGGTAAATGTTTTGTTTACAGAAGGAAACACTGGTTACAACGATTTTTCCCCCAGTTGTTCATCATTTAAACTATCATTTTCACTTTGTTTGGTTTCATTGTCCTGACATTACTGACACTGACCTAACTCTGACACTTAATTCATCATCACAAGCATAAGTGCAAAGCCAAATGAGGCCAATTTATTAAAAAATAATTAGAAAGCTGGTCTGAATCGTCTGCATGAATTCTGTGTAATTGAGTGTCAAATGAGAAGCTGTCTGCTATGCAAAGAAAGAAGATGGTGATGTTCTCAAGTGCATCCTTGTTTCAAGTTCACAAAACCTATTAAAAATGCAATAAGAGTTTTTCTTTTTTTTTTTTTTGCAATTGTGACGGTATGGATGCATTCTGCTCCTGTTTTTCAAGCTATTTATGTCTGAATAGATTGGTTGCCTATGAGACAGGGATCAGGCCTTTGACACAGATTTGAAAGACACATGAGAATGAGGAAAAATGAAAGTTTTCTTGTTGTCTGATGGGTACAGAGGCTTTGAATCCCAGAACCATTTTTTAATCTTCACATTACATTTGCACCCTCCGAAACCAATGAATTTTAAAAGGATTTTGTCTTGAGAGTCTGAAAGAATAAGCGGATATCACTATGCTAATAGCCACTGTGGCCAGCAGTAAATAAATACCAAGAAATGGAGGAATTTCTGTCACCCTTTAACACTGTAGTTCACTCCAGACGTATCCAGAATCATTTTGTTTTATTATTTCATGCTCAGAGTATAAAGCACAGGCTCTCTTGGTGACAAACCTGAGGCTATAAAATATTTATAATATAATAACACTTTTATTGCACTGTTACACACAGTAGAGCTACAGTATTGGTGTGGTCTGGATTTTTCCCTCGACAGCTTTGAGCAGGCCCGCCTGTGAGTTGGACTGACAACCATATCCTCCATTCTGGATTTTCCCCCCGTTAACCCTGATTGCAGCCCCTTGTGTTCTTTTCTGCACTAATTCCCTGTATATGGCTGGAAAGGGTAGACATGGGAGCCGACACTAGCACCAGGGGAGTCATACATGGAGGCTACAAAAATGTAGAAATTGTAATGCGCAGTTCTTTGACCTCTATGACTATCCTGGCATCAGTGTTTCCTCCTTGACTACTTCCTTCTTTCTGTCAGTACCTGTTTTCTGTCTTGTTCAATGAATAGTTTGACAGTTTGGCAAATATGCCTTTTTACTTTTTTGTTGAGAGTTAGATCAGAGGCTTGATACCACTTTAGTGTCTGTACCCCAAATATGAGGTACAGCTAACAGTCAACTAACTTAGCTTAGCATAAAGACAGGAACAGGTAACAGAATCCTGCTTTGTCCGAAAGTAACAAAAACACTTCTAAAGCTCAATAATGAACAAATCTTGTTTATCCTGTAGAAAACTTTGTAAATATGACAAGTTGTGGTCGTAGCTTAGCATATAACTATGTAAAAACTCAAAATGTCATCTCTACAAATCTTTTTTGTTTTAAATTCAAGGTGAGTGAGTTTCAGAGGTTCTGGTAGGAGAATTATGTTACCAACGGACAGAGCTAGGCCAGCTATTTCCTTGGATGGAGCTACGCTAGCTGTTTCCTCAGACAGAGTTTGACTAGCTGTTCCCTTGGATAGAACTAGACTAGCTGTCCCCTTGGACAGGGCTGTGCTAGCTGTTCCCCTGGTCAGAGTTTGGCAAGATGTTCTCTTGGACCGAGCTAGGCTAGCTGTTTCTTTGGACAGAGTTATGCTAGCTGTTCCCTTGGACGGAACTAGGCCAGCTTTTCCCTCAGAGAGAGTTATGTTAGCTCTTCCCTTGGACAGAGCTAGGCTAGCTGTTCCCCTGGACAGAGCTAGGCCAGCTGTTCCTTCGGACATAGCTAGGCTAGCTGCTCCCTTGGACAGAGCTAGGTCAGCTTTTTTTCTCAGAGAGAGTTAGGCAAGCTGTTCCCCTGGACAGAGCTGGGCTAGCTGTTCCTTCGGACATAGCTAGGCTTGCTGCTCCCTTGGACAGAGCTAGGCCAGCTTTTTTTCTCAGAGAGAGTTAGGCTAGCTGTTCCCCTGAACAGAGCTGGGTTAGCTGTTCCCTCAGACAGAGCTAGGCTAGCTGTTCTTCTGGGCAGAGTTTGGCAAGCTGCACTCATGGACAGAGCTAGGCCAGCTTTTCCCTCAGACAGAGTTAGGCTAGCTATTTCCTTGTTTTGTGTTTTTATGCTAGATAACTAACCAGCTGCTGGTGTGATCTCATATTGAACGAATAGACATAAGAAGTGGTATCAATTTTCTCATCTCGGCAAGAAAGTGAATAAGCCAAAATGTCAAACTATTTCTTATAACCTTCAACCTTAAATGTTAGCCCTGACACTGCTAGGGAAAGTTCACTAAACCAGCCATTGCTCAGTGTGGGTGTACCTCCAGTAAACATGCTTTAGCAAGGAAAACATCTGCCGACAGCAGTCAAAGAATACAGCCTGCTCTGTGGTTGTCTTGGGAAGAAGCACATCTCATGGCAAACTGCCTGATAACCACTGGACAAGCTTTGTTGTTTGACAGAGGCTCTCCTGCCAGTTTGCTCACTGCTTTGTATCTAAAACCCTTCCTCCAGTCACTCCTCCCTTTAACCCTTTTGCCAGTAACCCCTCTGTCTTTCCTTAGCGTGGTTAACCCTTTCCTCTTCCTGCCCCACCCCTCCCCTCTCCTGCTCCTCTTCTGCCTCCAGGTCGGATGACAGCGACTCCTCGCTCTCCGAGGTGCTCAGGTAGAGGAACTGTGTTTGTCACTCTCTGTTTTTCCCATTTGCCTGTTAACTCACCTGGTGTCATCTCATCTCCACCGGTAGTCAGTGCCTCGTCTGGCCTCTCCTCCATCTCTTTTCCTCCCCCCTCTGTGGGTGAGGTCGCTGTGGTGCATGTTTTAACCACATGCGGCTTTCTTGACCCAACGGCCTTTCCCACCTGTGATGTTGTGTTTTTCTGTGGTGATGCTCACACACAAGACCTGAATGAACCTTACCACTTTAAAGCAAGCTATTAGAAACTGCAAATGTTGTTTAAATAAACACTAGGACTGTCGTGACCACGTGATATTATCACCTGTTAGACAACCATGATCAGTAATTTCCAAGATAAGTAATTTTCATTCATTTCCAATGAAGACTGCAGTATTGATAAAGGTCTTTATGAAAAAACAATTTGCTTTCCTGTCAAGCGTTAGGGTCAGACACACCAAACTGACATCAAAGAACTAGTGGTGACAAAGGTTGACTATTGCGTTGCGTTACAAAGACTACAGCCAACGACCAACTAGCATGAATGTTTTGCGCCTGCATGAGAGGAAATAACTCTCCATGACAGCAGGTGGCGGTAAGTTGTCTTTGTCATTAAAAACAGGGAAACTAGCAGGATGAACGCTATTTAGCCTGTTAGCACATTGATAACAACCTGTAGTTGAAAGAACAAAGCATATTTACCATGCACTTGTGAACAGTAACACAATTATGAACTGTTTCTGCCAAAGAGCTCACTGGCTAAAAACATAATCCAACCTCACATAAAAAGTTTGTTTCAGTCTCGCACCATTCTGACTTAAGCCTATTGCTTACTTTCCTCACTTCTGTTTCTCTTCTTGTGCTGAACTTCCACTCAGAGTGATTTCATTCACTGATGGGCTCTGCCATACCTTACACAAATTCTAAATGTTGAATTGGCAAATAAAAGACGACAAGGGCAAAATACGGCCAAGGGTGTGGGACCCACTGCAAAAACTAGGGTGACAGATTCTCACTGTTGGCTCAATGTTGACCGAGGGCCGACAGTCCGCTCGGTGTGTTAGGCCCCTTAGATGAGAATATCGGTGTCACTCTGACGTCTGTCTTTTAAATTCGTAGCTGTAGCCAGTAGGCAGTTAGCTTAGCTTAACACAAAGAGTGGAAACATGGAAACAGCTAGCCTGGTACTTTATAAAGGTAATATCTAGCTCCCAGCATTTCTAAACCTCACTAATGAACATGTATATCTTGTATGTTTCATCTGTACAAAAAGTAAAGTGTAAAAACGGTTTTATGAGAGGTTATGCACTGGACTGTTATTTGACTTGGTGCAGTGGCTTTAGTTTTTAATCTTCAGTTGTTGTACATACTAAAGGCAGTACAACATGTTAATGACTTTGTTACTTATATAGTGATACCATTGGACAGAGCCAGGCTAGCTAATCCACCCTACCTCCAGTCTTGATGCTAAGTTAAGATAATTGGCTACTTGCTATAGCTTCAAATATAACGTACAGACATGAAAGAGGTATCCATCTGCTCATCTAATTTTAGCAAGAAAGCAAAGTGCATTCTAAAAATGTCAAACTAGTCCTTTAAGACAAATAACAGAAAACTGTATAATTATGATAAAAACAAAATGCCGTCCTCTTCTTCCTGATGAATCTATTTTTGCATATTTATCTCACACACTCGCACACACAAATTGATGCACCTCTCACTGAGGCTCTTCTGCCTGTTTTTCTGTGCACTGCAAAGAGCACACACTGATCTCCCTCCATGTTTTCATTAGTCTGCTGGTCTCTTGGTGCTTGGCCCTGCAACATCCATTAGCAGCCCTCACATAGTGCATAACACAGCACACCATGATATCTTCCACAGATGCTGATAGAATGGGAACACTTTCTGCCATTTGGACCAGCGCCGTGCTTGAGAATTAGAGTGCTGCATTAAGCAATATTATAGTATGTGCAGTACATGTACTTATAGAGAAAAACAAAGGAGGAACTATACATAAAGCATTCAAAATAATGGCACATAGTGGTTTACTGGCAGGTAAACAGAGTAGCCTGCGTAGGGGATCTGCAAAAATATAATAATCATTTTAAAGCTAAGTATATCATAGCTTTAACACCTTTCTTCACCTGAGCTCCCAATTTAAGGAATGAGGATGGAGCGTAAAATGACAGGGTTAACAACCTTCAGAGTGATAAGGTTCATTAAAAAGAAACTGCACCTCACATTCTCCTGTTTTTTTATTATCTTCCTTTCCCTCTAGTCTCCATTTATTTAAAAAAAAAAATCACATTAATAGAACTGCTGCATGTATGGTATCCCCCTCTTTTCTTATCAAAGAATTACCTGCATTCTATCATCAGTCTTTCCAAAATGGAATTGGACCAATAAGAGGGTGGAACAGACTCATGTGATGCTGTGTTCACTCCATGCACCTGCCATCACAGTCAGGTTGTACAGCTCTGCCAAGGGGCAGAAGCTGATAATCTGACTATGTTATCGACTTGTTACACCTCTCCACTTACCCACACGTACCACATACCCTTTTCCCCGGGCCACAAAAGGCAACTGGTTGTGGAGGTGCTGAACTGAGAGTCAGCTCCTACCGTACTGGTGGAGAATGGATGCTGCATGTGGTAATGATGACGTTTCAGGACGTTGTGCTGTGGTTTATTTTTGAGTTGTAGGCTGCTGTGTAGTTGGTCTTCCAGGCTGTGGCTGCTGTGAACAATTGTTTTGGGCTTATTCTGCACAAGTCGGTTCTGTTTTGTGTTTCATGAGACTTGGCAGACATGCATGCAATCTTTTTTCACTGGCTGATGATTGGCAGTTTTGATTTTGGTTGGCATTTTTTTATGCACTATAAAAAAGAGGATACACAGAAAGTGTGGTTTAGTGTTTAATTTTTGATTTGACGTGTGTATTTGTGTGCGTGCTGGGACATTAGCGTGCAGGCACAGAAGAGGAGCATGTTGCCATCTTTGACAAGTTTCAAGCACACCCTTCTGTATTTTTCTCACTCTGTGCAAAAACAAAACCTGTCCCGAGTTTTGTGTGTAATCACAGATTCTCTTTTCCTTCCTCACATCCTCCGGCTCTCCCTCACTGTTTCGCTCTGCACCTCACTCTCTCTCACACACACACACACACACACACACACACACACATACACACTCACATACACACTAACCACCACTGGTGTTATTAGGAAGCCCACTGGGGACCAATTTCCCCACATTCCTCCCTCTTCTTCTCACCCTCTGCCTGCTCTGTCTCACTCTGCTGACTGCTCTCCAGGCACTCTGGGACTCTGGCCTGTCAGTGGGACATAGATTGTGGGGGATGGGGGGGAGCAGAGGTTCAGCTACAGAGTGTACATAACACAGAAGAGGTTGTGTGTGTTTGTGCACGAGTGTGGGTGTGTGTGTGAGAGAGAGGCGGGGGGGACAGAAAGACAAGTTAAATAGGAAAGCAGCTTTTACTGTTGTAGTGCCATAATTGGTCCGTTGCACAAAAAAGGAAAGCAGCGAGGGGGAGTGAAGGCAGGCCAGAGCAGGTGGGCTTAGAAAACTGACAGGATGTGTGTGTGTGTGTGTGTGTGTGTGTGTGTGTGTGTGTGTGTGTGTGTTTGCATATGCGCACAGTTTTTTTCTTGGAGTACATCATCTTTATGTATCCAGAGAGGTTTGTATGGGTTTGTATTATATCTGTATATTGAACAGAACATTTGTGTTTTTGTGCGCATGTTTGTAATTGGCCTGTTTCACAGTGCACACATCCTATGTGGATAGAAATCAGCTGATCACTGATTTATATCGACTGTGACACTGTATATGTGTGTGTGATCTTTAGGGGTGTGATCAATCCCATCGGGGGTGTGAAGGGGGGTCGGACGGCGCCCCTGCAGTGTGTCTCTGTAGCCGAGGGACATTCAAAGCCAGTCCTGTGTGTGGATGCTACAGATGAGCTGCTATTCACTGGATCTAAAGGTACCCAAACTGCACTGTTAGTTCTTTCTGAAAATGGTATTTACCATTTACTTTAAGTAGCCTTAATGGCTGATGTTTGTTCAATAGTATATTTCGTTACATATGATTTTTAAAGCTTTTTTAAATGGATCTTACGTATTTAAGTCAAAGCAAATAACATTATGAGCTAAAGCTTGTCATTACACCACCAAAGGATTAGTCATGTAATCAAGCAAGTGTTAAGGAGATAGTTTGGATCTTTTGAAGTGGGGTTGTATCAGGTACTTATCCATAGTCAATGTAGTGCCTACAGTAGATGGTGGTCGACATGCCCCCCACTTTGCAGAAGCAGGCAGGTGTACACCCATGGAAGATTAGCAAAATGTACTGCTGTGGAGGGGGGCAGCAACAAAACGTCTTTTAGTCACCAAAAAAAAATCAATATCAGTCTAGTGTACGCTTTATTTAGAATATTTTCATTCCTTTACCTTCACTTCAGACAGGCCTTTACAACAGGGAACTGAAGCTGGTTTATCCATCTATGCTCTCTTCAAAGCCAGACACCATTGACAAAGATACAGTAATTTTACCTTGCAGAACACGAGAGTTGCTGGTCTACCACTGCCTCAGTCGGTCAGTTTGTTTGTGTTATTGTGTGACTTTGATGTTTTTAAGCGTTAGTTTGGATTCTACTTCTAAGTCGTAGCTCACAAACCAACCAAACAAACAAGGCAGCGGTAGATCAGAAACTCCTAAGGTCTGCAAGGTAAAATTAATGTTTTTGTCAAAGGACTCTGGTGGCTTTGAAGAGAGCATATGTAATGGCTTAAGTTTCCCATTGGAAGGGCTGTTTGATGTCAAGGTCTAGAGATGAAAATATTCTCAATATAGCCTACACTTAAACTGATATTGATCTTTTTAGGTGGGCCTTTTTTGGGAGGCTAAAATATGTTTTCCTGCTGCCTCCATCCACAGCAGTATATTGCTTAGGTTCTGTGTCAGTACTCCTGCCTGCTTCTCCAAACTACCACCACCACTTCAAAAAATGCAAACTATCCTTTTAAGCCAAACAGTGTTTGAGCTGCCCTTCTTTGCTCCTCCAGATCGTACCTGTAAGATGTGGAACCTGGTAACGGGTCAAGAGATTGTCACTCTCAAAGGCCACCCAAACAACGTGGTGTCTGTCAAATATTGTCCATCCTCCTGTCTGGTCTTCTCTGTCTCCACCTCCTACATCAAGGTGTGGGACATCCGCGACTCTGCCAAGTGTATCCGCACGCTTACGTAAGTTTCCTCCCTGCAACCAGAACATTTCGGAGCAGTTAAACTAAAAAATTGCAGCTGAGCAGGTATTTGATAGAAGTGATTTGGGAATATTCTTTCTCAGTTCAGTGGTGTGTTTCAAGTTGCAGAAAAGTGACAGATTAAATGTGGAAAAATATGATGTGAAATGCATCCAGAGGAAATGAAGAAAAGTTCTGCTCATTACACTTGTCTCTGTCTTTCCACCTCCTGTCCCCCATTTATTCTCCTCCCATTTGTCCCTCTTTCTTATACTTTATGGCTTTGCTTTACCCCCACAGTTCATCAGGACAGGTGGTTTCAGGTGATGCATGTGCGGGCACCACCACCCGCACAATAACCTTTGCACAGGGCGAGTGTCAGATTAACCAGATAGCCCTCAACCCGTCAGGATCTGTGCTCTACGCTGCTGCTGGAAATAGTGTTCGCATGTGGGACCTCAACAGGTACATTTGTTCATTCATTACTTTAGTCATAGATTAATTTATTCATTGAACAACTCATCTAATTGTTTGTTTAAGTAGACGTATCCATCTGTACATATTCATGAATCCTGCACTGATTTAAATGCATAGCCATCCCCACATGCATTGGTTCAGTCATGCAGATAGTCAGACAGCTCTAAATTATTTTTGATGTGGAGGATGTATATTTTCACTTGTCAGATGTTAATCAACCAGAAAGATGATTAACATGTGACTTAAGAGATTAAAGGCTGTCAAAAGAAAGCGCAGGAACTGAGCGCTTGTGTGTACGTGAGTGTGTTTCCTACAAGGTGCCTGTTTCTGAAATCCAGCGGCATCGCCGTCTCCTCAGTTTTTATGCTTCTAGAGGGAAATGATTAACAGATTGGACCACCAGACAGTTTATGCTGAAGGGCTCAGACCTAATTAATGATGCAGAACAACGCCCAGAAATAAAAAATGAATGTATTAAACATTTCTTCAGTATCATCTCTGCCTTTGGCATCGCAGTGTCTCAGCAGTTTTGCCTTACTCGTGAGACCGAAAGTGATTTCATTCAGTGAAACCTTGAAAAATAAAATTCTTGTAAGTAATGAATTTCACAGGCCTTGCTTCAACTCCTTTGCTGCTTGTTTGTGTGTGTGCATGTGTGCATGCGCGCGCGTGTGTGTGTGTGTGTGTGTGTGTGTGCGTGTGTAGGATGCAAGGAATGGGGAAGCTGACAGGCCACATCGGTTCTGTCATGTGTCTGACAGTGGGACAGTCTCTGCTGGGCAAAGACCAAGTAATCACTGGCTCCAAAGACCATTATGTCAAGGTACAACACACACATTTGTGCAGACCCTGCCCCAGCATCACAGACACATCCTTTAACAGTCTCCTGCACCTCGTCTCTCCTTAGGTCTTTGATGTGGCAGAGGGAACTCTGGGTAATGTAGGTCCAGCTCATAACTTTGAGCCACCTCATTATGACGGCATCGATTGTTTGGCTGTACAGGGAGATGTGCTGTTCAGCGGGTCGAGGGACAACGGCATCAAAAAATGGGACCTGGAGCAGCAGGAACTCACTCAGGTGTGTATGTGCGTGTGCCTGCATGTAGAGTGTGTGTCTTTGTTAAGATGTGTGATATGAATGAAGAACTGGCTTTTTCTTAAAGCCTAAAACATATCTCTTGTACCATGCTGCAACAAGCCAAAGGTTACTTAAAATTAAGACTGCATGTGTTGTATGTTCCTGCACAGTAGGTCAGTGAGGTCAGCAGGTTTGAGTTAAGCAGGAGGCAGAATGGTTTTCTATTCATGTGGATATGGAGTTCATACATCAAAGTTTAACACCCTGGCAGCGCTTCAGCACTGCTCTCGACTTTATATGCGGTGAGCCTGTAGTCAGAATCCATCGTTCTCTGAGGCTATTAATTCAAGATCTCTGACCCTTATCTTGTGAGCAATGCCACTTTTTCCATATGGTGCATGTAGTGCAGAGAAAGTACAAACACAGTATATAAGGGCTTTGGGAGTTAATTGAGGGAAAATTATTCCTATCTGTAGGTGGCTTTATTTAAAGGACTGCTTCTAGTGTGGAGTGATTTTGATAATCAATATTGAACTAATTTATCAAGCAACAAGGCTGTAAAGAACATATAAATACACTTTACTCACTACCCTAACAAAGCCGTAACATTTAAGGTAAGCCAGCTAAGATAACGTTTGATATCATGAAGACAGCAACATTAAAGAGGTATTTCAGTCTTGATAGGAAGGTCTTTTAATAAAACTGAGCTGTCTATGTAGTGGAAAGATTGAAACTCTTTTGACATTGGTGCTACATGATGACCTGAGGAAACAGAGGAAAAGAGCTGTGGCATTCATGTTTTTTCAAGAGGTAGAAATCCTACAACTACCAGAACTCACTGTGCCGTTCCAGACCAAATTAATACTCCCACTGGTGGGTGATGTAAGTTAGTTTTGACTCATTCGAAAACAACATGGACAGAGCAGCACACAGAGGCTCTGCTGGCCAACTGCTGCGACACAGTAGCAGTGGTTTGCTATTGGCTTTGCTAATGTTTACTTGCACCTTCAAAGACTATAAAGCAGGTATGCCTGGCGTAGTATACTGCGTCGGAAATTGATTTAATAGTTTCATACCACATACTACCAACATAGGCGTTATACAGTATAGTTAAAGTGTTAGCATGCTAGCAACACAAAGCATCGCTGAGGCTGATGAACATGGCATTAGTTTAGAAGGTATCATTAATTAAAAGATTGGCCTGAGGGTGGTGCGAGATCTCCAAAGTTACTACAGTCTATCCTGAAGGACACGGATCTCTTTCATGGCAATCTATCCAATAGTTGTTAAGATATTTCAGACAGACTGACTTTGCCATTGCTGGAACCATTCTACTAGCTTGGCTAAAAAAGCCAAACATTTAAATCTTCTCAGATGTGAAGATTTGCTGTTTTTTTTTTGTTTATTTCATTATGAAATAACCATTGATTTGGGAAAAAATTTGAAGATGTCTTCTTGGGGTCTCAGGTACATTATGTATATGTATTTTTTACTGTTTTCAAATGTTTAAAGATTTTGTGTTTAAATGAATAATAGCACTTAATAATGCAACTAAATAATTAAGAATAAAAATAATCCAAAGTTGTGGCACTATCCTAGATATCTGATAGAAGAAAAAAGGAAGCAAAGACATGACAAAGCACACACCTTCCATGCAAACAGCGACTGTATTTTACTCCTTATCTGACACTGGCTTGGCTGTGACAGTTCAAAACCGCTTTGCCCGTTGAGCATTCAGTTGGCGAACAGCTCCCTTCATGTCTCTCTTTACCCAGAGTGCTCTCTCTGCAGAGAAAGTCAACAGAGTGCCGTCATGTGTAATGTGGCAGGAAAGCACTGTGTCAACACCAGGGCGTTAGAGCCCACACGCATCAGACAGAGCCACAGGTACCAGAGAGGAAAGTCACTGCGTGTGTCTTTGTATGCATGTGTTGACTCCTGTGGTGCCTCTTGTGTATCCTCAGTTGCTGCTGCATATGTTAATAATGCATAATATTGCACCTTGTGGGTGGATGTGGCTTACTCATTTGCATGCACAGTAATATGCATATTAAGCAGCACTTTTTTGTTGTTTGCATAAGTTCTATTTAGCCTTTGTTTATCAGAGCAGAGAAAACAAGAACATAAGGCATTATTATTTCCATTCAAAGGCTGAATTAAATCAGCTCAGTCTGTACTGCGGTCTGCGGCATATGACCTTAACCTCATTTGTGAAGCAGCCAACACAATCCATTTTACAGCCTCTCTAACTCAGTAGTCTCTGTCTAATTGTGTAATAGGATCAAATTGTGGCTTGGGGTACAATAGAATATATTACAGTAGGCTCTGCCTCCTCCAGGATTGCTGCTGCGAGCTGTTCTGCTCTGACCCCTCTGCTAAAATGCATACGCCATAGTGTGTTTCTTGGGGGACTATGCGAAGCAATTTGTTTATAATTACTCAGCACTGTAGTTTAATGATTCCCGGTTGCTTGATAAATAACATACCTTCCAAAAACAATCTCAAGTTTGTGTGTGTTCAACCGCTTTGTCGACATGCTTCTTATATGGTGAGCAACAGCAGTGTGGTGGTGCTCTCTGTGAGGTGTTGGAAAGCACTGACACATTTTACCTACTGGTGTAAAGTCGTTACAAATGGCGAGGAAGATGTAGTATATGTGAGACTTTGTCTTTATTTTTTTGTAGTTGCCATTCCCCTTCCACAGCTCTTAACTTCCTGTGGATTTCGAGGTAGGGGAGAAAATTGCCTCTTTAAAGGTTTCCTCCATTTTCCTTTAGTGTTTAAGAAGTATTTCCCAGCTTTGAAGGAGATCTTTTCATAAAACTGGACTGTATATGCAGTAGAAAGATGCAAATAAATTTCAAATTGGTGCTATATGACCAGAAAAGCCAGAGAAAAAGGGCTGTGGCGTTCCCTTTTGCTCAAGAGGTAGAAAACCTACACCTGCCAGATTGCACAGCACCGCACTGGACTAATAAAGGCTCCTGCTGCTGTGTGACATAATGTAAGCTTGGCTGTTTTTTCACAGGAAACAATATGGCGGCAATTACAGTAAGCTAAAATATGTTTCTGAAAACATCTGAGGCAGTGCAGTTGCAAAATCTTGGTTTATATATAATCAGCACTGTTTAGTTTTACTGTTTAATCTCATTATCTTCACCCTCTGTTATTACAATAAGGGAAACAGTATGGCACCCACTTGCTACTCACAAATTCTCCTATTACAGCTAAATAGTGCACTAAAATATGTTTCTAAAGACATTTCAGGCAAGAAATTGGCAATATAGTAACAGAACCTTGGCTTATATTTGATCAGCACTCCCTGGTTTTACAGTTTGATCTGAGTCTGGCTTGAATTTGAGAGAGACAGAGTAGGGTGGCTGTCTTTCTCAAACAGCTTCTATAGTCTTTGTTTCCATGGTAGCGGACATATGAAAATGGAGAAGTACAAGCTAAAGTTAGAGCAACAGCTCTAGCGACAGCAAAATTTCGTGATTTGAGCTGAGAGATAAGCAGAGGTAAGATAGAGAGGGAAGTTTACCACAGTTCATTCACACATACAACCCACATAGTTATGATACAGAGCTGGTTTAAAATCAGCAAAGTATCCCTTTAAGGAAGGATTTTTTATTCTTCCTTATCTGGCTTAGAAACCCCAACCATGGATAACAAAACTCTGCTGACCTCCAGAGTTAGGGAATTATAACTATTGAAAAAGCCGTCCATCAGTTAAGTATTGAAGTAAATGGTATAAAAACTTAATGATCTTATACATACTTAACTGTGCTTTCATGCCATCATTTTTCACACTGAATTTCTTAGCTCACAGTGGGCTTGAGTAGGTCTTGAAATGTACTGCATTGAGAATTGCTTTAAATTGAATTGTTAACCCAAGAAGCTCAATCAAATCGAAATGTGAGATGCAGCAAGATTCACACGGCTAATATTTCTATTTAGTCAGTTTAAAATGCATGTATATCAACATTTAGATTAAGTTTTCACAAAGTGAATGCAAATGATGTTTAATTCATAGAAGCGAAGAAAAAGTAATCAGCTTCATCTAGCTCTGCATGTAAATTAACAGCTTTGTATATACCATCCTATAATGACTGATGCCAGATCCAGTATCTATGAAACAACCAACCTGCTGACACCTCCACACTAAACAGCACCGATAAGACGATAAGAAAAGAGCCCAATCCATACTGGATTTTCAAGGCTCTTGGCAATATATACATCGGAGAATTAAAAAAAATAACAGAGGATATTCAGTTTCTTACATAAACACAACATAATAAAAAGAAATAAATCTAAATGGATTGCATAAATTTGTGATATTTTAACAATAAAGTCGTCGGTACTCTCTGGTGGACAAATTACACAATGGTAATACAGCTTATAAATTACCTCAAATACATCTTGTACACTTCTCCACTGATATTTCTTGTTGCTAACAGATGAATATTTCAATACCGATATACTGACGATAAACTAATATCAGACTATCCATCAGCCCAGTCACTTTAGACTATTTTAGTCCAGCTCATGCTTTTGTGTATGCAGCATACCTCCAGGAGTTAATTCTACCTGCTGTCTACTCCACACTGTTGTCTGTGTATTGTAGCCAAACATTGTTTCTGTCCATCTGTATCCATTTGTGTCAACAGTTGTCCCTCTCTGTGTCTAAATGGATAGTGCCAGTGGGAGAATGTGTTGTCTCAAATAGTACTTTTTGTGTTGCACTGTAAATCATACATTCTTGAGAGCTACCCAGTCATGCTATTTTTTTTATTTGTTTGCACAAAGTGATGTGATAACTCTGCTAGATGTGGTAGATAACCAATTAAAGCCATTTGAATAATGTCACTCACAGTATGTCAGTCGTTCTCAGCTCTCAGACTATTGTTCCATAAGCCTCACTGAGCAGAAAACAACTTGGAGCTCTGTTTCAAGGTGAAATCACCTTCAGTAAAATAAGACTTGTTTTCTTCATTGCTCAGAAAGCTGAGGGGCGAAACAGTCTTTTAATTTGTGGCTCCTCTGTTTAGATCACAACAAATAGGCCTGAAATAGACCTGCATGCAAATGAGAAACAGATATAGGATTTGTAACTCACTGCCTATACACATTAGAAAGAGAGCAGCCTAACTGCAAACTGCAGTGACGACAACATGCACAGAAAGAAAAACAAATTAGTATGTGAGGTACCTGATGGAGACAATAATGGAACTTAGCAGTGTTATTTTGGGTGAAAGCTAATCTCAAAAATGCAACATGAAAATAATTAATGACAGAAGCACATCAAACACAACATGAAAAAAGTGACAGATAAAGGTAATAAAAGTTATCTCCCTGCGCATGTGTTCTTCTGTTTAGAGATGAATTAATCTGCAGCCCAGTTGGTTGAGATAAACAGAATAAATCAACAAAACCCAAAGTGTAGGCGTGATAAAAGTCTGTTAAAGCTGCATGTAAATCCAAATTGCTTTCTGTATGTTTGTTCTGTATTTTAAGACACTTGTTTAATTATGTTTAACATCTCACCTCTGCAGTGCTGCGTCATCATAGACACCGTTCTTCCTTTTCTCCTTAATGAATACAAAAATGGGTGATAAAAAAGCATGATGTCAGTTAAGAAGCTATTTGTCAGATGTTTTTGTTGGTGTGTTACAGTTTGTTCCTCACAGCAGGCGTGTGGAGATGAGCTGCAGGAACAATTAATCCAATACAATAGCAGAAAATAGCACCATTTGAATCTCTTAAAGGTCATACAGAGATTAGGTCTGCCCATAGAGCTGAAATTACTCTAAAATTAGCCTTCACGCTTTGCCAAAATCTTGCTCTGTAATTTGAAATAAAGACGACTTAAACACTTACTACAAACTTCTATGATTCACAAATGCAAGCCACAAGTGCACATGTTTTTACCCTTCCCTTGCCATTTCTCTCGTAGCTTCTTCATGAAACAGCCGCACACGTCAGCGTGATTATCGTAGTAAACATAAGATGGATGAATCAGTTCATGAATCATGTTTGAAGCCATTTTAAAATACTGAACACACGGAGACACATGAGCTAAGAATAACTATGGCATTGAATCTCAATACATTATTACTGAGTATGTTGCCTAGCTACGATGTACATTTTTCATTCATGAAATAAACGGCTTTACTGGTGATGATATACAGCCATTAAAAATGAAACACTTGCTATTTTAAGATTGCAATAACCCTGATGACTCACATTCCTGTATTTTTATGCAAAACAAGAGATGTAATAACTTTTATCTTCCTCTAACTTAATGTCTCTGCTCTGACTCCACAGCAAATCCCCAACGCCCATAAGGACTGGGTGTGTGCTCTGGCATATGTCCCAGGCCGGCCCATGCTGCTGAGCGCCTGTCGGGGCGGCATGCTGAAGGTGTGGAACGTAGACAATTTCACCCCCATAGGAGAGGTCAGAGGTCACGACAGCCCCATCAATGCCATATGTACCAACTCAAGACAGATCTTCACTGCATCCAGGTAAAAAAAAAAAAAAATTCTTTATCTGTTTGAAGGTATTAATGGGCAAACAGACTAATTCTTTTAGGAGGTTATTACCTCTGCTGAGAGTTAAAAACACACTTTTGTGTCTTAATAAATGCCATTTATTTATTGATTTATTGAATTACTGTTGTGAAAGCATGTGTAGATTAAAGTTCTGTCAGCATTCATTTTATATATACACAAGCAACAAAAGATATCACTAGTGATATTCTACATTTTTCTCTTTGGCAATTAATTCCATGCAAAGACCAAACCTACAATAAACTGATCCTGCTAACATGTATTGACAGCCTAGTACATCGTATTCCTCTGTGACACAGAATTTGATTATTGTCCAAAAATGATTAAAAAACCATTATTCATTAATTACTGTGTACACTGCTGTCAATACCATGGATCTATAAAGGGAACATGATGCAGCATTGGACTTCCACTCTAGTCATTTCATGGGGGAAATTTTTCTTTAATATATAATAAGGCAGAAGACCAAATTGAGTGTTTTTGTATAAGTTTATTATATTTTGGGGCAGTGTGATATTATGCATTTGAATACTACTTTGCCATTACTGCATAATTACTTCTTCAAAAAAAAAAATTTTTGTTATTACATGAACTTTTTGTCGATATTCTAGTGCCTTAAAATGCCTCAAAGAGAATTTGGGGTCATCTTTAATGTGGATGCCTAATTTTGTTTACGTATGTAGCTTTTCCTTGCCTCTTATTTATAATATGCTAAAATGTTTTAATGGTGTGGCTTTTTTAGACTTTTCAAATGTTATGGGACCAAATAGATCAAATCCTGATAGTGAGACGAGTCATTTCAAGAGGGCTGTGACACTCAAAAGAATTTATCCACTGATTTACAGACGTCTCTTTCACAATATAAGTAATGGGAAAAGTCTTTTTGGGCCCAGCGGCATCATGTGACAGACTTGGAAGTTGTAATTCCACTGTTCAGCCACTATGAAAATTGGCTTAAAAGCCCAGTGTACTCACTAGAGCGCCAAATGACTGTGTTAATCCGCTGCTTAAAATAGTCCCCAAGAAATACACTCTCTACCCCTGTTTGAGTAATGTTTGTGTTTTAGAGAAGTTACTTGGCCTTTTTTTAAAATGAAACTATACATTTTTGAGTTTAGAGCCATAGACGAGGTAGGAAAGTCAAAAAGTATTCAGAGATGAACTTACGCATCGCTGGTTTTGAACTTTTCATGGAATTTTTTGACAATAGCAAAAAACATAGTATACCGGCCTTATCAGAAGGTTGTTTGGAGGTTTTGGGGTTGATATAACAGATGGTTCATATTTTAGTTTTTGAACAGGTGCAGTGGGAGAGGGCCTGTGTGTGAAATAATACATTATGATTCATGCTTGTTTCATCTCAAGCATTAATGTGCAAGTGTGTGTCAGCCTCTGGAGCTCGGAGAGGGTCATACTACATCCTGTTTGTCTCAGAATCTGTTTGGCTGAGCTCATAGCTGCATCAGACAGAGATAATGGTTGTTCACTCTTTGTGTGTATCAGAGTGGGACATTCTACAGCCTGTGTTCATTTCCACTTCTCGTTCAGCTGGTGGGCCTTCGTTAAAGTTCACTAACTTTGTACTTTATCCTCCTGCTGTCCTCTCCTCTTGTTTCATCACTTCTTTAATCTGTATCATCTCTTTTATCATCATTCTCCTGTTTGGTCTCTTAAACTCCGCCCTCCCTCTCTTCTCCTCTTGTTCCTCACCATCCTCCTCCTCTTCCTCCACGTCGACCCCAGTGACTGCAGGGTGAAGCTGTGGAGCTATGTGCCAGGCTTGACCCCATGTCTTCCTCGACGGGTCCTGGCCATAAAGGGCCGAGCCACCAGCCTCCCATGATTGCCTCCTCTCCGCTCACCAACCCTCCCTTCCTCTGGTACTCTCTCAACTAATTTCCACCTTCTGTTTCCTGCTGCGTTTTCTTTTCTCCTACTTTTGAATTTCTTTACCTAGGAGACACCTGCAGTTTTCTGTTTGCTGTTTCAGTTTCTATCTTTTTCACTTTTGCTCCAGTTCTTCTATCATTCTTTTCTGCTGTTTTGTTTTTGTTCTTTTTTAACTTTCTGCTCTGTTTGACTTCTAATTTTAAAACTTTTATGGTGGTTGTTGGTTTATTTGCAGATCACTGCCTCCACTAAGACAAACAGCTTCTCACTGACTGAACAAGTGACTCATAGTTCTGCTCAGAATAACTTTTTTTCTCATGTGTGTAAATCATGTGTGTTACTCTGCTGCTCCTGTTCCACTTTTTTTTTTTTTTTTTTTTGGCAAATACGCTTATGCACTTTTTCCCCCCCAAAGAGTTATAAGAGAAGATCAATACCACTCTCATGTCTGCCTGTTCCATATAGCCTAGGAACCAGACACATCTCTGAGCTCATGCTTTATTTGCTCTGTCAGATACATTTGTTCACACAGATATCCACTTGACCTGGCCCGAGTTGGGCCAATCACAACCGTTAATCTTATATGGGGCGTGCTTGAGACGGTGACTGCCCTCGCACTTTAAACATAATATGTGATGATTTCATTTTTGGCTGATGCCAGGGCCACTACGGCGAACATAAATGTAGCTTAGTAAGCTAGGCTGATGTGGTGAACTTTGTGTTAGAGTACTATTTATAAATTTAAATGGCCACCATGGCAACACTCGTTCACAGACATAATGGGCCTGATTCACCAATATCTTCCCAAGTCTGCCCTTAATAACAGGAAGAGGAAAAAGTCCCTTAATGTCTCTGTAAGTTACTAATAACGTACTTGATTGAAACGCTGCTTTGTCAGTTTTCCCCGCCAGTCGGTACGTTTACATGCAGCTTGAGGAAAACGAATTATTGGCTCAGTCTGACTGAAACCAGACTTTTAAATGCATGTAAACAGTTTAGTCCAACTGAAACTAAACACACCTAGATGATTCGATTGAAAATCAAACTATATGCACCACTTTCTCTTTCGCTAGCTTTCACCCAGAAGAAGAAGGAGATGAAACAACATCCATCTCCGTCATCTTCATTCTGCGTTAGCTTCCTCTTGGGGTCAACTGGAACTAGTTCAATACGCACTATATTAAAAAGGACACAGCTCCACCTATCGAGGCGGAGTCAGATATAGTCTGTCAGAAATTCGATTTTCTCTTCTGTATACTCAGATGAGACAAGAAGTCCGACTTGACTGACTAGCCGAGCTAGGAGCTTAGCTCGACTACTGCGTGCATGTAAATGTACTTGAAAGTGAAATTTTCTAGTGTGATCAGGCACTAGCTATTAGATGGCATGGCTATCATTAACCTCATTGATGTGACATAAAGTGTTAGTATGGTGTTAAATTATCAAAAATAATTATTAAAAAATATTATACATAATAAATATTATTGTAATTGAAATCCTATAGATGTAGATGCTGCACCAGTCAGGGAAATGGACACAGTTTGGCTTTGTATTATCAGCTCTATTTACCAGCTGAAATTTCCCACTATCAGCCAATAGTCCATCAGCCATATATCATGCATCCCTACCTGTTTCCAGTCTTTATGCTAAGCTAAGCTAACTGCCTGCTGGCTGCGGCTTCATATTTATCACACTGATACGAGAGTGGTGTCAATTATCTCATCTAACTCTGGGGAAGAAGTGTTTTTCTCAAGAAGTGAATCTATTTAACACCTTCAGCGTTATCCTTTCAGAAAGAGTCCACTCAGTTGACATTTAGCATCTCCCAACACCAACAAAAGAGCACAGCTAACTTCTTTTACTAGTGTTATTGGAAAAGGTGTCCTGGGTATTGCCTAATTGAGGTACAAGGTGTTATGATTAGCGCTGTGGGAATGTGCAGGAGAGTGAAAATTAAATTGCCTGCTCAGTTGGGAGTAGAGTTGTGGGCAGGTTGATTAGATTTTCTTGTTGCAGAGTTTATGAATTGTTCTCATTTCTCCACTTTTGTGAGAGGTTGGAGAAGTTTTTTTTTTTTTAACTGACACCATGAGAAGGGTCTTTAATGAAGTGTGTGTGTGTGTGGGTATGTGTGTGTGAAGGGTTCTTTGAAGTCAGCGTCTTTGTGTTGAATCTGATGTAGAATGGATTGTTTTGAAAGCGAAGACTGCCTGATTGATGCTCTGTTATTTTCTCCCTTTGCTGTGTTCTCCTTGCTTTCCTTCTCTCATCATCCCACCTCTCTCTTTGTGTCTCTTTCTCTGTAGCGACAAAACAGTGAAGATCTGGTCGTCAAAGGTGTGGAGGAAGAGGTGACGACCGTAGCGGCTCTTTGGTCAGCCATCTTGCCGCAACTTCAGCCACTGATCTGTGACCTGCTCGCTTCTAGTAATGAGACAGAAAAAGCCATTTTCAAGGCAATCGAGGTGTTTTTTTCATTGTCAAGGTGCAAAATGACAAAGCCGAGGCGGAATACCTATTCAAAGGCCTTTCAGATTTTTTTTTACTGCCAATTTGAAAGTGCCATTCAGGTGTGATGCTACTCAGACAAAATAAACCACATCCTCCCAGCGATGGATTCACCAGGCGGAACGATTTCTCTTTCCCCGCCATGGAAACTACCACAGCCTGGTATTAAAAGGAAAAGAAAAAGTGTCCTTCTGTTCTTCCAAGGTTTTAGAATCCTTGTGGAGCAGCGAGAGATGGATTTGCTCATGTGTCTTTTGACTGAAAGTCAAGACACAGGCCGAATTTAAATCCCAGAGGGACGTTACCTAACAACTGGGACAGCTATTTCCTCTTGCCCCTCCATTCTGAACTGTCAGTGTTCACTGGTGTTGTCACTGTTCTGATACTGAACATATTGGAGGGTCATGCGATGGGTTCATAGATCTTGGATCACTGGAAAGTTAAAAGAAACACCACTTGATATTTTGTTTTTCACTCCAGAAACGCCCTCCAATCACCTTTAGTTCAAATCGCTCTCAGTATGTCAATGAAACTTTATTGCGTTCCACAAGTCGTGTTAATTTTTTTTAATGACTTTTACTAATTTATTATTCTCCCTACCTCAGTTGTTTTGGACTTTGGCATGAGGTGGGAGGGAACATTTTTACGGGTCTCTGTGTACAAACACCTGGTGCTTGACATTTTGATGTCTTTATTTAATGCCTGGCTCTTCATCTCTGTGTGGATGTGTCCTCTGTGGCCCTCTGGCTATAAGACTGTCTAGCTGCTGACCCTGCAAACAGGAAAGCACACGTCCAGCAGCACAACTAAGGTAGCACTGGCCCCTGGAGAATCTGACCGGATTTTAATATCTGCTCTGTAAAGTGCTAACTGCAACAAAAAAGAGAGAAAAAACACCCCTGCAGATGCACATGACACAAACAGTACATACCTACAGCACACACTCCTAAGACATTTTTGAGTCAGGTACTTCATTGAGGCCAAAGTGCCAGATCATTATCTCTACCCTCCTACAGTGTGTGGCTCATACCTGCCATTTATCCTCCACGCAAATGGTAATATGAGCCCTACCAACTCCCCCCAAAACTCCTCCTGCTTTCAGCTCCTCTCTGATCTTTAAGGTAAGCGACTGTATCAGACTGACCAGCCTTACTGAAGAGTCCACCTCCTTCCCAGCTACTGAACTTCTCTGGGAAGCCAATTTAATTAGAGGTCCCGCAGCTCTACCGGCTGCTTTTCAGGCAAGATTACTCGGGTGAAAGTAGGTCATAACTGAGAGGGATTTCTTATTAAAATCCCAGTTTTTCTTCCACCCACTATTTGCTGCTACATTTAAAGAGCGGGAGAAACTTCCTGTACCCATGCACTGATGTACAAATCTGTTTATGTTGCGAATTATGTGTGGGCAACACACACGCGCATATGCACAAACCATGGACGCGCACACACACACACACACACAAACACACAAGATTTCAGTGGATGTTTCGGTTATCCATCTTGCCTGATGGGTCTTGGCATCCCTCACTGTGTTGATTTAGTGTCTCTTTAATGAAACAAATTCAGCACTGCACTGACACACACATTATGCACATGTATTCACACTCCTACAGGCAACAGTAATAACCCAAGTCTTAAAAATCAGTTCAGTTATCTTTGTGTTGTGAATATAGATAATAGCAAGCATTCACACCACTTTCAGTTTATGATCTTGGGCTTTTTTGTGTCACTTCAAAATGACAAGCAGTGTTTAAAAGCTTCCTGTCACACAGACGTTTCATGGTGTGTTCATACCAAACGCAAGGTGAATTTTCGCGCCGCGTTACTTGTGTGAATACGGATGCTGGAGAGTTTGAGTATTTTGCAACTGACAAATATTTTCCCGGAACAATTATGCAAACTAATAAGCTAAAGGCTAAGTTGGTTTGCAGTACAACCAACAGCTGGAATCAAGTGATGTCAACACGGTAAACACGGAGGCTCTGAATGCTCTGAACCAGCATGAACCAAGAAGGCATCACTCTTATTTTCCATACTGTCACAACAGCACACTACTACTCCACTCCTTCTATTTATACTTTCCACAATAAAAGACCAACTGACTCAGAGCATTCTGCGAAGGAGAAATTCAACAAAACGCAAGTCACAAATGCATATTTTCAGAACTTACATGTAGTCTTAAGGCTTCAGTAACTTATCTCCAAGGCCTCTCCTTGTTTTTTTCTGTTGTACAGTACAACATTAGTTGGTAGAGCTCTGGGTGCCTACAAATGGTGACACTGTTTGTCCTCCATAACCGTGGATGCTCTCAGTGTCATCTAAAGACTTAATACCTATGGCATCACAAATTTTAGATTTAGCACTCAAGCTTTTGGATTTAGGAGAGAGTTGCTCATGTTTCTGAATATTTTTGGACTGTTTTAGACCACAGGAATAACATGTATGCATTTTGAAAATATGTAACCCCGCTGTGCGAAACACTTGCTTTGCGTCCGATGTGAACACACCATTACAGCTTAACGAAAACATTCACCAATTCATGTCTGTCAGTATCAAAATATCACGACGCAGTTTAATTTTTTCAGCTCTTAAATCTCACTTCTTCTGTTGGAAAAACAAAAGGAAATTCAGTGAACTCTTCCGTATAAAAGACCCAGAAACATGTAGTTTAATTAAACAAAGTTAGGATCATAAAACAGCAGTCACAGATGCTGAAGTCAGTTAATACTTTAAATATACTTTCTGCAAATTCTCCTCTAAGAGGGAGTACACACTGCTGACTGTTGATGTAGCCAACATGGGTTTGAAGCTGCTTACATTATCCAAAAGCAATTATATGTTGTTTTTTTTTTGTTTGTTTTATATTGGGGGACGGGGATGGGAAGGGGGGCAGTGATTGCAAATGTATGGGGTAATTTGTTGAAGCGTTCTTGGTTTTAATATTTTGCCAGAAACTCAGGTAAAGGTTGAAGGATAATGTCAGTCATTACTTGACCTGTGATTTTAGGTAGCTCTTTGAATCGACCAAATGCCTTGTTTGAGAGATTTGTTTTTTCACTTTGAGAAAGAAGGTACTATCATGTATTACCCCTTTTTGTAAGAAAAAAAAAAAAAGAGTCATTTACATATTTTGCTTTCCCCTTTACTTATTATCTATGTAGTGTGCTTTTCTGTACAAAATGTACACATCTTAAATGGCATCTTCCAAATCTGGCCAAAGCTGAAAGTCTTGCAACTCTGAGAAGATGTGCACTGATTTTTGACCGTAATTACTTGTTTAAAATATGTATAAAATATGGTAATTGTATAGTAGTTAAACCTGAGTGTGCGGTACAAATTGTGGTCAGTAGGGAAATTAACCTCCATAACATAACATAATGGGTTATACTTTGACCTCGAGTGAGAATCCACTGGGCTCTTCACTGTACACTATGTATTTATCTGTGCTCATTAGCCAAACTGACCCTGCTCACCAGCTCTGTGGTGTGTTTCATGTGATAACAATGCTAAGACAGCCCTTATCGCAGTTTTTTTTATTCTCTTCTTCAGACTGCTTTTTATTGCTAGAGAAGATCTCGTAGTACTGTAGCTTTAGGCGCTCTCTTTTAGGTGCCCTGTGCTTGTACATTTGCTGAAGGTTGCATGATGTTGGTGGTGCTTATCGGTTGTCACCTCAAAACATAGCAATTTTATTGGCAATTATTTCCCCCTGCTATTGTCAATCTTAATGCTTAACACCTGAGTGGATTTGCTATCAGAGTCTAGAGGTATTCAGCCTGTTGTTTGGATTCTGACACATTGACAGTCAAGTAAAATATGTAGCAAAAAATTCTGAACGTGCTTCGCATAAGATGCTTGCTTAGAAGTTTCATTAAAGCCAAGTAGAAGCCCTAAATTATTATCTGGCCTTGGATCAGCTCCACCCAAAGTTACCCCGAGTTCTGAGGCTTTAATTCTGCCGATGTCAGCACCACTTCATGACTTGATGATGTGTAAATAGGTGTGTCATACCTTGTTTAATATTACAGCGGAGATTCAGTCAAGGTTAGCTGACGTCTTCCTCATCAGCTGGCCTCACAGTAATCTCTGCAAGTTAGGATTTACTTGCACTTTGGAGAAGGAACACTGCTGTGAATACTCTGTGAACTGTTTTCCAGATATGTATTAAGCCTAGATGTAGACTTAGTTTACAAAGACAGAGTTTACGAGTCCCAAACGAGGCTTCAAGCTGGAGTGCAGGACTTTTGTCTCCCCCATGTGGCAGTGAAAGTAATTACATAATCACTGTTGATGCATGTTTACGACGTACACCTGCAAGAGCTCGCAGCATCTCCCCCGACCCCTGAAGCGCTCTCTTCCAGTCTTTTTTGATCGTTCCTCTGAACGCTGATTTTCTTTTTTATCTGGAGCATCCATTTTCTTGGCTGCTTCTTAGGATCTACTGCAGTAGCTTCCACCATACTCCTGGAGTTGCTGCTCCATCACTATGGTCTCTCCACCGTTCTGCCCCGTTTAGCTCTGGCTGGTTGATGTGAAATGCATCACCAGCGCAGGAAAGTTGCCACAAACACTGCAACCCCAGTATACTGTGAAATACAAAGAGCTTTCCCCTGATGACGATGGGCTTAATCAGCACTGTGTGAACTTGTTTGGTAAGGGCTTGAATGTAACGGACATTCATTTATATGTAAAAGTCCTGCACTCCATCTTTAAAGCACTGAAATTGTACCGAACATCTGTTTAACTCTACAGTAGGTTTAGAAGTCAATGATATTAATGTTTGTGCTGAGACAGTATGTAAGATAACAGTCAAGACATAGAAAGACAGTCCTCAGTACGTCCCTTCCTGTAAAGTTCCCTTTTTATAGCAAACGTTACCTGAGAATGGTCATTTTCTTTCTGACAGAGCAGCATGCACACCTTTGTAGACACTCAGGAGAGTCCATCTCCATCCTTATTTCCCTGGCTGTCTGCTGGTATTCGGACATTTTTCTTAATAATACTGACCACAAACAGGTCATATTACTCTATGAAAGATATAATCCGAGACACAGGATGACAACATCTAACCTTAATTTATTTCTCCTGCAACAATCAACTGCAGAAAAATCCCACCTGATGAAATGCCCATTCAGGAAGGGACATTATCACACTAAATGTGCCATGTATTCAGCATGAGGTATTGTTTGATTGGTAACCCTCTCCAATCCCAAATTGGTACACCAGCTGGTGAGAATGTCCTGTGGCCAAATGTAAAAAAAAAAAAAAAAAAAAGGGGGGGGGGTCGGGGGTCCCCAAGCCTTTGTTAACACGTAGTTTCAATTGGAAAGCTGTTTGACCAAAGCTAAAAATCACTTCAACAGCTGCTGCCTTGCTCTTATAAGCCACAATGTGGAACTAAAATGTCTGAATTTAGTGCCCCCAAGAAGTGGTAAGCAACAATACACATGTGGATGTCACCTGGGGACACAGAATCAATTGACCATTTGCTAAGCCCCGCCTCCTCAGCTACTGTTGCTATGCCTGTCAAGATGTCCTTCTAGTACAGAACTTATGCATTTACAGTGGCATCTGTTTTACACAGACATAACAAAAGCAGACATATACCCTACCTAAAACAAACTTCTATGCCTTAGTGTTTGTATTTTCAAATGGTGAGCTTAATTTTGACCAAAGAAAAGGATTTTAGGATAACGAAAAACTGATCCATTTGGCAGACATTGATACTATAGGTTTGGCTGGAGTTTCAGGAGCATAAACTTCCAGTATCGATATTCAACACTCTGATGTAGTCAGGGGTTCAATTGGGTAGCACATAAGCTCTACTTGCCCACTAAAGTACATACAATCTGAATTCCAATTTTCATATCAGGCTGGTGGCCAGCCGCAATGCTGTAACCTATGTAAGGACAGCAACAGAAAGTTTGCTGATCCATTAGGGAGTCAGTATGATCTGGGATCAGTAAGTCTGGCCAAATTACCTAGCTGCGGAATGGTGCATTTTCAGCTGTAGTCTCCTAGTGGCTGGAGGTGAGGCAGAGGGAACTTAATCCCTGGATATAGTAGCACCACCCTCCAAACTCTTTATATAGCTATGGAGTTATGTTAATATTAGAGCCTCTGCACACCGTTTTGGCATGTGGAGGGAAAAAACAAAGCTTGACAGGTCCATGGTGCCCTAGTTACAGGGGGTGCGGGGTTTAGTGTATGGTCAATTCACTTAAAGCAAAATAAAGACTGCACCTATTTTTCAAGGCAGAAACAAAAAAATTCAATGTATAGTTGGTGTAAGCAGTCTGTCCGGTATTAGATTTTGGACCATGGGACAGATACAGTAAGAGAGCTGCCAGTCAAACTGATTGTGTGATTACCGCCTGAAGCATTTCCAGCACAGCCCTGCCCAACCATCTTATGACCACTAGGAAATAAAACCCAAGTAGTCAGCTCAGCTACAGCCTCGTGCCTCAGCCAACAGGCCTTACTGCCTTAAAGAAACAGAATGTGTATGTAGGACATTGATAATCATTCACTTAATATCCCGAATCTGTAACAGACATATTTTGAAGATTGTAGATTGTCCTACAGATTGTGAAATTCTGTTCTAAGCCAGACGACGTCTCAGCTCGCTCTATCAGTACGGCTGAAAAGACTTTCAACTCTGCCTCAGGCTGCTGAGGGGATGGGATCGCATTTAGACACAATCAAGAGGGCACTTTACTGCTTTGCTGCTCGGCGGCGAATCGCTATCACACACCAACACAGGCAGCTGCTCGAGTAATCTTTCTCAAGGCGTGTGTTGTCATCTTTAGGATATGGTAATACAATGTGTGGCAGTGTCTGTGAAATATGTACTCATGGGACATAAATGCAGGGTCAAAGGTCATTTGTGCCTTTTATTGCACAGACTACTCCCTCTTAAATGAGTGTAAATGTGTGTACAGTTTTTTTTACATAACAATGTGCATGTGACCAAGCCATGTAAAATATCTGACTGTAAATAATGTAAGTAAATATTTAATGAAGGATCCAACATTCGCTCAAGAAAATAAATAAGTTAAAAACTGTCCTTTGTGTCACCTGTTGTAAATATTATTTGTAGTTTGGATTGTGAAATAATTATGAGATTACACTTCTGTAATTATCTTACAAGAATTTGTTTTTTAATCAGATTAATTGGGGTTTTTATAATAGTTACCCAGCTCTCTGCAGATTGCAACATTTAGCCTCTGATCTTCTCATCAGCAGAGAAAGAAAAGTGATCCTTTACACTGCAGATTGATGAGGAGCTAATTTATCACTCAGAATAAGCAGGCAAACGTGCCTTCACATGATAAGAAATTAGCTCTTTGCTCAATGAGAGATAGGGTGCAAAATATTGGAAAAGTGAAGTGCAGGTGTATGTCACTGAGGCAACAACAGTTGCAGGCGCAGACCTCTTTGTGTGGGTTAAATCCCAAAAGAAGCAGAGACAGATGACTTTATTGTGTACGATGGATTTGAGTTTATGTCAAAAGAAAGCCCTGGCAATTACCATTCAGATCAGATGCTTGTGATATGAACAAGCCGCAACCTAAATCACTGGAAAAGTAAGCCAACACGAAGCACCAAATACTGCAGTTCCTTGAATGGCCAATTCAGTCAATCCCAATTGACCCACATTTTGTCAAATCCACCCCCTCACTTCTAAAGCTCCACCCTGACCACTCCACCCCTTATATGGTCACCTCTGTCACCAAAAAGCAAGCTGGCGACGGCTGAAATGCCGAACTCGAAGCTTCAAAACGAGAGTCAACAAACCAATGGGTGCCTTTACAGTAGCTAGGTCCATTATTTCACACAGTGTATGGCTAAAAAGCATAGCCCCTGTCATATAAACAGCTAAGCTAACTTCGCATTAGATTTACCTAAGTTCTTAAACTATGTGCCTATTCTCAAACCTGTTAGCTTCATCTCAGTGGTGGCTGCTGGTCTTTCAAACAGGGGAAGCTCACTTTAAGTTTACATCATAAAATTTGTCATATTGTAGTGAGGCAGTAACTTATAAAAGGAACATTTAATTGAAGCCATTTTCAACCACACACATGCCATAGAACCACAGCAAAACACACCTCAAAGATTTTATGGGTTTAAACACCTGAACTGTGTACAAACGGTGAAAATGAGCTATAAGGCTTATGGGAATATGGAACTCCGGACGGCACTCCACTCACAAATATCCCCATGGGACTGAGCTCGAAATGCTACGATGTCGGTGTGTATTTCCAAAGCACTGTCAATCACAAAGGGGTTCAGCCTTTTAGACAATTCCTCCAATCATCATGCAGACACTGAGCGTCCTCTCCCACCTACCGCCCCATTAGGTCCCAGGGAAGCTGAGCCTCCCTGGAAGTGACGATTTTGTCGCATTTATCCAATGACCGTCTCGCTTTGCTGCATGAAAAAAATCTGCTCAGCACTGTCTCATAGGAATGCTTGGAAACTCTGCGTCCACCGTGCTGACACAAGAATGTATGACAGGAAGGTCACGTTTGAAAACTGGTGATAAACAGCTGATGTTTGAACATCATAGTCATGATGTTAAATGCATCCTAGCGCATGTTTAATGCAATGTAAATTATTATTTCAATGTAAATTCAGTAGTACATATTTGACCATTCCCTCTATGAAATTTTAGGGGAAGTTCAGCCTCCCTTGTCGTCGCAGAGCAATCGCCCCTGCTCCATCTACATTTCGCCATGCATTACTTTTCCTGGTGAGGTCTCTACCTCTCCTGCTTCTGGCTACGTCACAAAGCTCTGTTATGTCAATGGTTGCACTTAAAAATGTCAGTGACAACTGAGGACAAAATTGAAATAATCTGAACTTTGAGCACAGTGCTCAGTGGCGATTTTTGAGCAGAGCACCACCAGGTCTCCAGGAACTGTTCCGGGCTTTGAAACCAATTTGACATAGTGGACAAACTGCAGAATTACAACTTCCAAGTTCATCACGTAATACCATGGGGCCCGAAAAGACTTCCCAAAGACTTGCGCTGTGACAGACATGTCTGTAATTCAGTGTATGCATTTTTTTTAACACCACAACCCCCGTGAAATGACTTGTTTCACAATCACAATTTGATCCATTGGGTTCAATATCATTTCTTAAAGAGGCAACAGATAGGATTTGTTTTTGTTTTTTTTTTAGCTTGGTCGCCACCTAGCGGCAGTGGTGCTGCATCGCACTGTTGCAACAACCAAAGTGAGCGTGGGGATCAGAGATAATCAATGAAATGTAGGCTGTAAAGCCACCAGTATACCTCTATGTATATGTAGAATGAGAAGGTGTGTGGACACTATACTAAATAAATGAGTAAAGAGACTGAGCAACAATTATCAGATTTATCTGAAGGAAAAAACAATTAGTAATGCAAATAATTATACCAGAATGTACAGTACCAGTACAAACAGCTCACAGTAAATTATACCAATATGTACAGTATCAGTACAAACAACAGTAGACACGTAAGGGATAATGTATAGTGAGCCGGTGACCGATGAAAAATAACTCCCAACGGGAATGGAACCCCGACGCACAGCAGAGTTATTTTTCAACAGTCACCGGCTCACTATACATTATCCCGTTTAGAACATGGCTTACTACTGAAACATTCAAATGTTACAACTGGCATCAATATTATTAAATTGCTGGCAGAGTGTGTTGACAGAGGAGAGGCAAACGGGAGCGGAGGAGAGGATTATACTCCACTTCTCCCGGTCGGAGATGCTGGGTGCCCAGTAGCTGCGAAGGCTGCCCTCACATTTATGGCCAGTGACCGACATGATCTCCCTGCTCTCCAGGCCAGCTTAGGAGAGCTGTGTGGACTAACATTAACTGATTTTGATGCTCCTCAGTCTAAGGCCGTTGCAGTGAAAAGTCCGGTGTTCACAGCTGGGCATAACTTAGCTGGGCGATGTCTGTCGATAGCTGCCTCCATGAAAAGAGAACCAAAGGAAGGGAGGGGGGGTATCACTGTCCGAGGGCTGCCATAGAATGGCAACAAGGATGTCAGCCGACCAACACTCGCTACTCGGTCCCTGGTTGCAACCAGTACAGTACAGTCCTCTCTCGTCTAGCTAACATTTAGCCGTGCTACTTACTGATCCATTAGAAATAAAGCTAGCTGGACATCGTTTTTGAATCCTCTTTCCTTTTTGCTCTTCTTTGCCTCCTCAGACAGAGGAGCTTGTTTTCTTTTGCTAGGCCGTTTTTCACTTGTTTCCAAACTTTGTCCATCTGCCATTGTGCTCGTGACTCAACTATCTCACGCCCAACTAAAAAAAAAACTCCTCGTAAGGACCAGCTCCAGTCCCTGATTGGCTGACCGACCAGTTTGGCAATACATGACGCGTTTCCTGCTGTAAAGCAGATTTTTTCCACAAAATTTCAACACCGGTGGCAGAAGCTTATTGCAAAGATTGTAAAGCCACTAAGTAACCTATGTAAACGCTGATAGTCTGATTTTACTGTGGCCACTACCCTGTGCAACCCACATTATTTTCATAATGATATATTTAGGAAAAATGCTGTCTGTTGCCTCTTTAAGTCTAAAAGAGCTAAATATTTTTTTTAAAGGTTTGTTTTTGGGCTTTTACTGCTTTTATTTCACAGCAGCTAGGAAGTATCAGGAAAAGGGGGGAGAAAGAGAGGGAACGACACACAGCAAAGGGCCACGGGTGGAAATCGAATTGGCCGGCTGCCACGGCCTCCACTTTCATGGGGCACATGCTCTACCAGGTGAGCTAAAGGTCACCTCCAGAAGAGCCACATGATAAACCATTTTATCCCAATTTAAGTTAGCAGAGGGCTAAAATGAAAGTTGGCTGGCCGAAGTCTCTAGTGTGCTTGCACTACAGGCCTTGTGATGCTGAAGATTTGGATTATTTTATACCCAGAAAGATGAACTTTTATAGCCTCATGTGCCACTGAGCAACTTTCATAAGAATGATGGAGGCCTCGCCTCCGATGCTATATCCAATTCTCTTTTTACATCCATGAGCACCATGCCAAGGGTAACGCTTTCGCCCAGATGAGCGTCACTACTCTCCCCATAGGAAAACAATGGCACAGCCAGCGCAGAACGGTTTTACCGCTCATAATGTGTGGGCAGCGTAAGGGATGAGATGCAGGCATGGGGAGATGTTTTCATCCAGATGCATTTCTTTCTCCTCCAGGGCTAGAGATACAGACTCAAAAGCCATACATCTTCATTTCCTTTGCAAACTCTGATCATTAACTTGTGTCGGGCTGAGCTTGTCCCAGCCGCGACGGGAGACACAAGCACTGTGATGTACGACGGCCATTAACTCCTCCGAGGAGGCAAAAACCATTTGAAGATGCCAGTCACAAACAAATAAACATCCATACACAAACCCTGTCACGTCCCAGCTGTATGTGCTCCATCTGCTCTCTCTATATAATAAACTCCTGAAATTTCATTTGAATGTCTTCGTCTGTTTCATTACACTACAACGCTCCAGTAAGTCTGTTCTTACTCGCTGAGCCATCAATCTCTGTCCTACTCTATCAATCACCCTGTAACTATGAAAATCAATCTGAAATTCAGCCAAACACCCTGAGAGCATAGTATACATATACTGATCTTGCTTACTAGTGAGTAAAGTAAAATTGATTTAACTACAGTATTTCAACTAAAAATACAATAATTTACTAGGAACACCAATGAAAGTGGGTCAGTTGGTCTGTCCACCACTTCCCACAGTCCACAGACAGAAATATCTCAACAAATTTCGTGCAGACATTCATGATCCCCAGAGGATCAATACATCAATACTTTAGTTTATGACCAAATGCCTGCAAAGCTACAGGCCTCCATCAGCCTTAGCTGTATGTTTTGCTTGCAAGCAAATGCTAACACAAGGAGGAAGTGAACAGTACTGCAACACCCCCCCCCCCCCCCCCCCCCCCACCCCAACCCCCCCCCCCCCCCCCCCCCCCCCCCCCCCCCCCACCCCCACCCCAACACCCCCACCCACCCCCCCCCACACCCCAACCCCCACCCTAA